CACACACACACACACACACACACACACACACACACACACACACACACGCACACACACACACACACACACACACACACACTGTACTGGGCCACCTGGATCCTGTAGAGTGTTAGTGGTGCTGGTTGAGGTATTACTCTAAGTAATGTTGTAGACTGTCTCATTAGTCACTGGACAGAGCCCTTCACCCCAGGAGATTAGAGGAAATTGCACAGACACCCTCACACACTACTGTACACACAGGAAAACATAGACACACATACACGTACACTCACTTCATGCAGATTATTAAAAAAAGAAGGATAAACCAGACGTGGCTGCTGGTTGTTAGCAAGAGAGCGAGGAGGACTGTGGACATCGCATGCGTGGATTTCTGTCTTCAGTGTTTTATCAGTTTGCCTTTTACCATAACAGTTCTGAAGCATCAATAATTAAGTGTTTAATTGCAGTGTACATAGACAGCAAGACCAAGAGAGAACAGCCTGTGGATGGGGGAGGGAGAGATGTGTTGAAGTAATTGGATCTAGCCTCCAGCACATCACACTCTTTCACTATGTGGTCAACTGCTTTTGACAAACCTTTTCAGGGTCATCTCTCTCTCTCTCTCTCTCTCTCTCTCTCTCTCTCTCTCTCTCTCTCGCTCTCTCTCTCTCTCTCTAGATGACATACTGTGATTCAAGGCTTGAGTCAGCTACAATATTGGCGAAGCGCTTCAGACATGGAGAGAAAATGTTGCTAATAGTTTACATTTCTACCAACCTATAGCCGTGAGCTGCAATGAGCTGGCAGAGCCGGCTACGGTTAGCAGAAGGCTAAACATTTACTCTTCATCTGTGAAATGCTTCGCCAATATTGTGAAGCGCTCTTTTTGATAAGTCTGTCTTCCTTTTGCAGTGTAAGACATGCAGTTATTGCCAATGCTGGAATAGTAACTTTTCCTGCAGGGTATTCCACTGTTGAATCAGGCTTTCAGCATCTAAACTGGACATGCAAATGCATCTGCATTTGTAGAACAGCCAATATGAACAACTTCTTGCTGAAATGACCTGTAACTGGCCAAAATCTCCCTTCACAAGCTAGATTTTCTAAAGCTTAAAAAGAGAGCCAAGATCAGTCATATATACAGTACCATGTGTGGCCTACAGTAAAAATGAATGAATGTGTAAATTAAGTTAATAGATGAAATAATGGAGATATACATTTTTGGGCCACCCTACTTATCATTACTGTCCTTTGCATAATGCTGCATTATGCCACAAATGACAGCTGGTGATTATAATAATTATTTAGTCAGGAAAGGCAAGCCAGAGAGGGAAAATGAGAATTGGCTTGAGCCACTATAGCCACTATGCATTACATCCCAATAGGTGTGTGAGTGTTTCCTGTTGAGATGAAGCTCCGGTATACATTGTAAAACCTTTGATGAAGCAATCTCTCCTAACAGCGTGCAGCTAAGTACTCATTAATAATGCATGTTATGCTCTGTCACACACTTATTTATGGAAGCATGAGTAGACACACATAGACGTGCACACTTGTTTCACACACCTGTTGCTAGGTAAACTGCAGCCCTTCATAGGTCATCCATCATGCAGAGTTAGAGATCAGAAACGGAAAGACGTGAGGGTGAGAAAGAGAGATAGAGATAGAGACAAATGGAGAGGCAAAGGGGGGATACAAGTTTGAAAGTTGACAACTGCGGGAAAGTGGCTCAAGTGCCTTGATTTATCAATTATATTGAAATTAAGAGTCACTCCCAACCTCATATCAAACACACCCAACAAGAAAAGATCTCCCAACTGAAGATTATCTTCCTGTATTCTGTCTGATAAACAGCCACGTTCGAGTTTGCTGGTGTTTAGTTACACTGCTATGTGTTGTACCCGAGAAGTCTTAAAAAGACCCCTAAACTAGACTGTCGGTTCTTTCTGTCGTTACTCCATGTATCCATCAAGTTCATGCATTTGCCCTTCTTTCACATCATCCCTTCTTCTATTTATCACCCCATCCATACATCTCAGGACAGAAAATTCAATATAGTGTGCCTAGAGGTTACACGTAGGTGAGGATGACCACACAATGACGCAATATAACGCGAGAATGATCGATGTCCGGAGGTTGGATGGTCTGTCAGAATCAGGCTAACTGACCCCCCACCCACCACCTACCCTTAACACACAAAAACACACGCTCACACACACAAATACACACACACAACCCTCACAATATTCTCTCTTCTATAACTTGGATAATGCACCGAAGCCAATTTTCTCCTTGCCGTTTACGCATCTCATGGCACCAGTACTCGGAAAAATGATAAGAACACCAGGGTGTTTACTTAACATACACAAGACAGACACTTGGCAGGAGTTGTGTTTATGGACATTCATAAATACTCTCTCTCCATTACTAATAAGACAACAATGGTGATGCCTTATAAAGGCAGAGTAAGGGGTGATGTGAACTCTGAATGTATAAAAACAGTTCAAACTCTGGATATAGATAAGAATCTCCGACCCATTTCTCAGTAAAAAATGGTTAAAGAGAGGAGGAGAAAAAGGAAACATCCCTCGGGTCAAAGCTCCCATTATCACATTGGATACTGCAGAGGAAAGATCTCAGTCCTCGCTCTTTATTCTAATGTTTGCATGCTTCACCCCTTGCTGTTATAGCATATACAAACTATATTATATCATCCATAAAATAACACAAGAGATCGCCTCACCACTCAAATGCTAGTGTGCTTTTACAAAATAATCACAACATTCAGATAACAACTTGTTACAAAGTAATGGCCTCCAGAATTGAGGAGGTTGTTGACTGATTTCTTCCTAATTTTTGTTTCCCTCACAAGAAGCCTTCAGATATGGAGAAGGGCCAGGGATCCTGTTGCCAAATGATCATTAAAATGTTTTGAATGTGACTTCCTTCATTTAGCAGATAATTTCAACCAAACCCAAAGCAATCACACTTGGAAAACTAGTGTGAGACCTAAGCCAGATGAATAATTGACGAACTAGATAGCCAGATGGTGGTGTAACTGCAACGGAATGCTTTATGCGTAAGTGTATAATCGGATTATTTAAAATCTAAAAATGTACTGTCTACATAATTTCGAATATGATTATTTTCTATGTGTAACTATGATTCAATTTGGCCTATAGGGGGATAATGTGTAATTTATCCCCTACCTCTTTGAATGCAGGAGTGTCAAAGATCATCTGAATAATAAGAATCAGTATTTGGATACAATGATTAGTGCAACGAGGTGGTACATTTGATTTCGATGTGCATGGTAAAAGAATAGACGTGCAACATTTTAAAGATTTATTTAGTCTTAATACTTTGACTAGATTTCAGGATTACTGTCTATCTCCCATCATATCATCACACCAACACTAAACTATCGGACATGTGGTACTGTGGTACTTCTGCAGCTGAGGCCCTCGGGCTCAGTGTTGTGGGTTCAATACAGGTCTGTCCATGCACATTTCCATTAAAGAGTTTGAACATATACGTAGCTATCTTTTTTCTTAGTTTGCTCTATCCTATCTGTCCTGGAGTCTGGTAGGTGTACCCTTGCTCCACCAAAATTCTCATGTAAGCTAAATGCACTCAACTTGTTAATTGTAAAGAATTTGCCATGTAAAGTTATTATATAATTACTTTCATTATACAATTTGATTTGATTTAATGTCACAAATGTTGCAGTAATACATTGCATCTTTAACATTTGATTATTTTTTTCGGCTGCTTTTTAATACATATTGATAAAATGAACACACAGTCCCCAATAGTTGAAACAAATAGTGGACTAAACACATGATTCACCGCACACACTTTGGCAATTGCATATACTTATTCAAGAGTACAATGTCTTGACAAGAAGCAGATGGAAAACCTCTTTTCGTAGCCCTGGTTAATGGAGCTATCATTCTGTACAGCTATAAAACCAAAGTAAAATTGCAAACTGACAGTTGGTTCCTCTAAGTGGAGTGAATCGTACCTCCAAGGCAGCAGACCTCTTCCGCAGCAGCTGTTCAATTTTCCTGGCTGCTCTTGCCACCAGCTCCTCTGCGTCGTTTTGCTCCACAGTGTACAGGTGTCGGTTTCTCAGAAAAATCTGGACAGAAAGAGAGAGTAGTAAACGTGTAAAATCACACACATGATTGATGATTTAACAAATTGTCATGTTTTTAAAATGTCTTTGTTTTACTCAACAAAAAGAAGAGTTTAACATACAAACAACAAATAGTGCATCTTCTTTGATCAATTAATGTATGTGGCAGGTCCATAGCAGTGTCAAAGGGGCTACATTCAGGGCATTAATACAGCAGTAAACAAATGTGTTGCTTATACCTGAGTGAGGCCTTTCCCAGCTGTGGCCGTGTCTGCCAGGGTTACAAGCTCTTTCTGCATCTGTTCCACCCATTCTTTAATCCTGTGGGACAAGGCAAAAGCACACAACCAATCTTAATCATATCTCAGATGTAAACCAGTTTGGAAGAGACATCACAAACATTTCTATGTGCAATTAAACTGTCAACAGTCAAGTTGTCTTACATTTATCATCTGACAAGACCAACTGGACATGTAAAATGGAACAAGGCCAAAGAGAGTCACTCTGATAGGTCAAGCAAAAATGTCAACCAATCCATCTAATCAAACACGTGCCATTTGGTGTCATCCAATACAATTACTTTCTGGGGATTCCAAATGATGTCGACCAATCAGATAAGTGTCAGCCAATGCTGTGACATGGTGACACTGATGTGAGTGGACAGGCGAGAGGTGGGAGGTGGCCAGGACCGACGCGCTTGTCTGTATAAGAGCTCTGGGGAAATCAGGTCCAGCTTGCTAGTGGCACACACTGGATTATACCGTCCTCTCATCCACCTCCAATCATCTTGTCAACCCACAATAAGCTCACAGCAGGTATTATAATATACTGACAAAGTAAATCACTCAGTGCATCCTGCCTCCACAGCGGCTGTGGATCGAGATAGACGAGAGAAGAATGTCAAAGACCTCAAACATTATGCATTAAGTGACACAGTGACTCGTTATAATTATCGGACACATCTAGAAGCGCATCTGGTTTGAGAGGCTTGCAGGATCAAAATACATGTGTGCATGTGGATGCATTAATTCACCATATACACTGTCATACATGAACACTCACACACACACACACACACACAGGCACACTGAGACAAAGTCATTAATATTGTATGAGAATGATAACAGGTTGGCATGGGATACAGATGCTCTCATTGCCATGCATTCACATTGCCATGCTAACACAGACTCCGTTGCGATCCTCCCCAATATCAAAGAGATATATCATACTCACACCCATAAAAAAATTCTCAAAAAGTGCCATTGCAGTAATGTGGTGAGTGTAATGCAAGTTTGTGTGCAAAGCGTCAATGCTCAATGCAGATGAGGGAGGTGATACGATGAACACAAAGAGAGAACGGTACAGAAGATCCACAAGCCAGAAAATATATGGGAAAGATACATCAGAGACACAAAATCCACAGTGGATGGGTAAAATACTGGGGAAGTACACTTGTGGAAAAAAGATGAGAAACTTTGCAAGAGCGGGAATACCAAAGGGGATAGCACAGTGTGAAATTTTTTAGGAAAAGAGAGGTGGGCATATTAGAGCAGGGTCAGCAATAATTCCGAAGCTATCTCTTAATTCCCAAAATCAGATGGTTTAGGGGTTCACGTCAACATTGTAGACACTGGCTTGGCAGAGCTTTGTGGCTATGTAACACAGATGTCCAGCTATTTGAATGTATGTTAGTGTGATTTAGAGCCACCAAAAGGGGGTTGGGTACTCAAGTGTCATCTGTAAAGAGGAGAAAAATGGACCAGTGGTGCTGGATGCAACCAGGTGATTCACAACCAGCAGCACACGATTAGTTTTTTAATTGTTTGATGTTACAGCATTTTTGAATGAACAGTCATCTAGTAGGAGTTCTGGAGCTTTTGGTCATATCACATGATCTTCATCAGCAGATAAAGGTGGGCCCAATTATCATGGGCTTGTAGATCAACTTCCCATTATTTGCAATGTATGGTGGCTTAAATGGTGAAGTCCATTAAGGAAAATGATATCTGCTGATGAAGATTATGTGATTTGATCAAAAGCTCCACAATAACTACTAAATAAACCTTGTGGTCAGTGGTCACAGGCTACTTTGTACTACTTATAATTACTCTCTGATAATGCTCATATTTACACTTACATCTATTTTGAGTTGTTATTTCTATTTATTATATTTGTATATAGTATATTAACCTTATGCTTACAGTAATCTCTTATTTTACATTTAATTAAAATAAATCTAATTCTTTATAATTCTTGCTAGTAGTTATATTAGCTACATCTATGCATGAGATGTTGAGAAACTGCCAGTTCTCTCCTCTCCTCTCTTCTCTCCTCATAAATTCTCTTCTCTTGATCCTCATCTCTCCTCTGCTCTGCCTCACCCTTCCTTGTCCCCAAATCTGCAAACGTCAAACTGATTGTAAGGTATTTTAGTGGACCTTGGACCCCTGAGTTCTTAAAGCCTGCAGTATTGACAAGTCAATTGTGAGTTAGAGTTTATGTGTTTGTGTGTGTGTGTGTGTGTGTGTGTGTGTGTGTGTGTGTGTGTGCTTCCAGGGACTTGACATTCAGAGAAGCAGAGGGCCGTCCCTCCAGAGTTTAGCTGCTGTGAATTCTACTGCTACCAGTGCAAATCTCTATAACAAAAACTCTCAGGTGCTGACAAATGAATGAGACAACCCAGGCTGTGGTGCAGTATGTGAGTTCTTCTGCACGTCCAATCTGGTTGAGATGGACTTTTTTTTCCGAAATGTATTTACAATATTTTTGCTCCATGGGAGTGTCTCATTTGCAGAATAGCTCATCCCAATTCTCACGATACTGAATCCCTTGTATGGGTATTTGCTTTGTCCATGCGTAAATACCAAATGTGCGCCCACTTGGCGCATGATATACAGTAACTGACCATTAAAAGTAGAAAGTTGTGCTACTACTCCCAAAAGTCGCATGCCTGTTGCTTTTTTATGAATATTTACAGTCAAATCCCCTCATTTTAACTTGCCTTAAACGGTCAAATGTATTATGCATAGGTATGGAAAGTCTCTGAACATTAACTCTTCATTCTTAAATCATGCATTTCCAACCATCCCTTGAGGTCTCAACCTAGTTTAATGGCGATACTTCCTAAATACCATAAGGTGAGGCCTTTCATCCCGTCATGGTTGATCCATATGAAGTCAGATCACCTCCTGCATGTAATGTATCTTATTTCAGCTCTTTCCATACATATACAAGTAGCTGAATTACAGTTATCATTATTTTATCACAAGTATAATGTAAGCTCTTTTCAATGGCTAAGATAGCATGGTGGTTCAGAGATGCCTAAACAGTAATAAAGTAATTGTTGTTGAGCTGAAGTAGCACATTTTTTCTGCTCTGGTTGCTTTCCTTGATTACTACAGCCTCTGGTACAACACTGGATAATTAAACACACACATACAAACGCACATACAAATGGCAAATGGGTCAGACACTGCCCTACATTGTTTTTCAGACACAGGAAGAGCAAATGAGAGCGAAACAGAAAGAGAGACGGAGAGACAATACAAGAAAGTGAGAGACAGATGTTGTGATGTCATAACTTTGGCACTAGATTAATGAGCTGGCCCATAGTTTGTATCTCGGTGGGCGGCTGGGTTAAACTACAGTCTAATTACACATCAGACAGCACAACATAATAAGGCACGGAAACACCAACAGCGATGCACCACAACAACCCCCGGTGTTCTGCTCACAATCTGTAGCCTGTACACTAATACCCAACAGGCCAATTCAGTCCTTCTACAGCCTAAAACACACCTTGATATACAGGGGAGGGTTTTTGGATCAAGCTCTGACCAGTACAGGGGAATCTTTTGTTGTTCTTACAACAGTTATCCCCTTAGATTTGCAATACATGGGCTTGTTCTGAAATATTCCTGGCACAGCCAACATGATTTATTTGTTACAAAATCATTATATGGTATTTGTCCCATTCTTGTTTTTTATTCACTTTGAAATGTTGCTGTTGACGTCTATGGTAGTGCAAAATGTTTCATCTCCAGACGAGCTACTCGAACAACAGAGCTATTTAGGATCATAAAGAGATGCATTTGAATGAAGCCAATTCATTTTCATTTCTTTTGGCTCATTTTGTTTATGTTCAAACCCTATCATCTGATCATCAGTCACACTCCAAACAAAAACAACTCACCCGAGAGTAATATTACAGCAATTTTGAGGTATATTCCGCTCAAATCCTATTAGTGGTATCTAGCCATGCAGATAGACATGCAGAGTCCGTAACTTAGAAGATGAATTTGGACTCAATCATTTACGGAATACTTTTATATTTACTTATTTACCTCTGAGGCAAATTTGTGATTTTGGGCTATACAAAATTAATTGAATTGACTTATATTTGCTTGTTATTTCAACAGTGATGAACAAACTGCCTGGTAGATGATCCAGGCTGTAGATTTTCCTCCGCAGGGGACTCAAAAAAAGAGCCCTCCGCAACCTCCTCTTCTTCAAATTGGGATTGAATTTAGCAATGGATCGAAGGCCATTGAAATATAAAGATTATTAAATGGTCACCATCACCATAGCAAACCCAAGGCAGAGTAATGTGCATTTAGAGTGGATGCTGGAGCCTGAAAGACTTCATGCTACCACCTATGGAGAACATGACATCGGGCATGAGCAATGTGGGTGAAATGTACAGTCAAATGTTCTTGTTTTGAATCGATTTTTTCCTGCAGACTGATGGATGCATTTTGTAAACGCAAAGCACTCAGTAGATTTTGTTTTGATTTTCTGTCACTAATTGTGTATAGGCTATACCAAAGGGTTGCTATAAAAATGTATATGTTCTGCTACGGCAGCCCAATAGCAGTAGCTATTTAATTTCTGTGTTTGAATATCAGCAAGAGTGTACTTTTCTTTGTGGACTCAGATCTTTTGGAGCCAGTAGCCAGATCATTTTTTTCAGTTTTTTTATATCAGTGATTCAGAGTTTCATGCTGGATTGCAGTACGGCCTGGCTCAGCAGTGAAACTTAAAGCTAAACTTTACATTCAAATCCAAATTTGAACAATGATAATTGGCCAACCTGTGGCACACTCCTTTCAAGCAACTCACAACAACAAGCTCAGACTTGCTAATAGTATCTTAGTATCTGAGTATCTGATTCCTCGCATGTTTTAAATGGAGAATATCAACTGCTGCCCTCTAACAGGTGAATTATAGTCGCTCCATTTAAACGCAACAGGCGGAGGAATTATTTCATACATCAACCTATCCTGTCGCGAAACCAAAATCAGTGTGCTGGTTCTGAATCAAGACTATAAAAGGTGATATATTTAATTATAATGACTGTTAATTATAAATGCTTTTTGTTTTGTCTATGAAAAGTGTCATATGTATGTGTCACAAGGATGCAAAATGAATTGCAGTGTAAACTGACAGTGAAGTTGTATCGTAGTATTGTATCGTATCACATTGTATTGCATCGTGTGTATTGTTACGCTTCACTGCCACTTCAGATAATGTATCTTAGAAATGTGTAAATAAATGTAGTTTCTGCATTAATGCATGTAAATAAAGGTGTAACCCCACCAAAATTATAAACGTAGCACTAAAGTCTGTTCTTTTTTCCCAAACAGATTGATGGGTTTTGAATTTATTCAAATGCTGTGTTTTATGGTTATAAACACAACATGCTGATTTTCCATCTATTGTATCACTCAAACTGTTGAATTATATGTGAATACACCTCCGATCACAAAATGACTGGTGTGCTGTATGCTGGTGGCTCTAAAAAGGTGTTCATGAGAACAATCCTGAATGTGAACAGAATTTCAAGATAACTTAATTACCCATCAACGCAAAGTAACATTAACAAAACCGGATTTTGCAAATTAATCAGAGGACTGTTTTGCCATATTTGGACAGCAGGACGTTATTTTATTACTACTGGGGAATAAACACCACATTCCCAAGGGCCACAGACAAGGGGCAAATTCTTGTCATTTTACATGAAGGAACAGGACCAGACGAAGCCACTGCAACTCTTCGACAACTTCACAGAGCTCCTCAGCCACATACATCCAATCTGCTGACTACGGTAACCAAGATCCATCACCGCCTGGAGGCGAGCATCCAGAGGAAAGCTGAAATATTGTCTACCTTCAAGATGACCAGTGGTGCATGAATGAAACGACCTGCCCATCCCACTCTCACCGAAAGCGCCAGCACACCGTGAGTGGCTCATTAACCTAATAGGCTACTCGTCTCTAAACAACGAGCACTTGAAACGAGTCTGCAGACCAGAACAGCAACTGCTCGAAATGGGATTATAGGGGATATACTTACATGAGCTGTGTCGGAAACTGCGATGCCAAATACCCGTCCTGCCATAACAGGACCAGAAACACCCAGGCTCGCACCCTGCAGGTATCCATTGTAAAAAAAAAAAGGGGTGGGGGGTGGGGGGTGAGGTAAATTCCCCGACGCGCGTCAACACTAAATGTGCTCCGCTCCCCTTCGCCGCCGATGAGTGGGAACGGTGTGCGGAAGCAGTGTGAGCGGCGGTCTGTCGCTCCCTCTCAGATTAACGAACCCTGACACATCTAATCTGCTCACCCAGCAATACGGCGCTCTAACAGATACTGAAGCTGGATTTCTCTCTTTCGCTCTCTCTCTTTCTCTCTTCTCACTCTTTCTCACTCTCTCTCTCACCCCCCCTCCTTCTTTTCAATCTAGCGGGGGAAGAAATCCCATCGACCCATGCTCCTTTTATCTCGTAATTTGACTTTTGTCAGTCAGTGATTTGACCTAATGCAATTTAGATTTGTCCCCAGTTCTGTAGCCCATTAGATCTAATAGTGGCGATATCAAAACATTACATGTGATATTTCAAAAGAAGTATAAGTAATATTTGTTTTGGTCCAAAAAGCATCACTCTATGTTTTCCTTCCCTCAAGGTGTACAGCATTCCCTCTTTGGAGCAACAAATTTTTTTTTATTTTTACCTCCCTAAAGAAACACCTGCTAAAAGGAGGGTCTGACACAGGTACCACACACACAAGAGCACCCACACTGAATACAGATGTGGCTTTGGCTCTTTAAAATGCCCTACAACCTTTCAATTCCCTCAACCTGGAGAGATGGGAGAATTTACTGGCTTTGATAGCACAATCTTTGCCATTCGCCATCAGTCATCCGAGTAGCATGAGTGGCAGCGAGCAAAGAAACTATCCCCCATGGGAATCACTGCTAGTGTGACAGAGCTATTGATTTCACACATAAAGTGTAAAATCTTATGGGTAAAGTACAGTCAGAGCCCTATAAATCTCAGTACCATCAATCACACCTGTTTTTATAAGATTGGATTTGTAGCTATATATGCGCTGCCTATCCTAACATGAATGTATAAATAGAATATATAGTACGAGCTCCTGCACCACTGCAGGATACCCTATAAAATCACAGTTTTTATCATTCTAAATTAAGAGCATCAACACTTTGATTGAATAATTGAGTGTTAAAGCGAGAACATAAACCTGCTGTGTGTATGTGTGTGTGTGTGTGTGTGTGTGTGTGTGTCTGTGTGTGTGTGTGTGGCCTGGAGGGAGGGGAGGGCAGCACAAGCAAGATGCTTGGGGATTTGGTTATCAATCGTTGCTTGGCAACCACACACCATCTCGTGTGTCCTCTTACCCTCCCCTCCTCCCTCCCCCCATTTTCTCTCTTTGTCTCTCCCGTCCCAACCTCTCCGCTGGCTTTCACTGTACTGCACTGTTGCTGTTCCCCCCTCAGTTTCTCCACTATTCTCATCCCTTCACTCCCTGACAGATCACCCTCTCCACATTCTCACTCGCCACACTTTTCTCACACTCATTTCTCCCTGCAGTGGAAGAGATGCACCTGCTGATGGGATGGAGAAAAGTGAATGGTGAGAACTGACGAGGTGGCGTGGAGCGGAGGAACATAACAGCAAAAGCAGTGTGGAGGGGATGGAGGCTTTCTTTGCAGACATCCCCATTCAATACTTTTCTTTCATCAATTCAGAACATCTCACACTACATCCTGAATAGGAAGAGGTGTCAGACTAATGCCCGAACTGCTACACCTCTCCTAATGTATAATCTGAAGTGGATAAAAGACAAGAATAACAACTAATGGCATCTGTCAGACAGACCCTGATATACAGATTATCTCTGTCTGAAGCCTGAGACACCAATATATTCCATACAGTAGGTTACATGACCTAAAATTCCAACCATTATACAATTAATATTTAAACACTTGTATATAGATACGTTTCACTTTAACTAATAACCTCGTTTGCCCTAAAGTCTTTTTTTTTCTTTTCATTTTTACTCCACACAAACTGGGAATTCCCAAATAATAACATAACTTTTATTTAAATATATTGATGGGTCCAAAATGAATAAGCAGAGCAATACCATTTTTAACATCAGCCTATGAGGCTGATTTTAAGAACCACTTGTTGGCATGGACATTTCTGGCAATGATGTTAAGGTAAATAATGGGTTAAAAATCCACTGGTTAAGAATCAGGTTATTTGGTAGAGGATACTGCCATCTAGAGGAAATTCATTAAATCCATTGCTGTTAACAGAATTGTGCTTTAAAGTTGTGCTATTACAGTAAATCAATACAGTAGTTTGACCTCCTTGTCTTCAAGACACTTATTCAGTTATATATATATATATATATATATATATATATATATATGTATATATATATATACCCATAATACATATATAGTAAGTCACAAACCAGATATTTAGTCTTTTTAGTTAAAGCTGATAGAGATTGTGCTGGGTAATTGCACTAAAGAAATAATAATAAAAGAGCAAATAGGCCATTTAATAAATACAAAAAGACAATAATGTTTTACTATACTACTAAGAATAAATCATAATTGTTAAAAAGCTGTTAAGCATGTTATGGACTGCACCACAATTGGCAGCAAGGCTAGGTCTGCCTCTCTGTATGCAGCTCTGTTAATACAAGTGCATCTTTAAAGTTGTTTATTGTGAACCTTTGCATACCTCATTTGGCTGGCTATTTGGAGAGCACAAGGGCAGGATCCACTGACAGCAGAAGGTGAACAATGAAATGCACGAACGCTGGAATTAATAAATGATGATCAAACTACTCAAAAACAATATGAAATGTGAAGTGTTGAAGAGGGGTTACTTTCTTGCTCTTAATACATCCTTATAATAAAAAATCAAAGTGTGCATCACTTTGGCACCATCTGGTGGTACTATTAAGAATGGCACAGTGCCAGACTTCACTCTGCTTTGTTGTTTTTGTGTAGTATAAAAAGTCCTTTTGATCCTTATGTATGAACAAAATTGTTCGTATGCATTCTTCTGTTTTATAAATCAAAACAAAAACAAGCTCAACTCTGCATGTGTAATATAGCTCTTCTTAATCTTTATTCTTTAGACTCAGGGGAAACAGCTGATTTTTACAGCACAATTTGCATAATATCTCAACACATCCTGTGTACAACCACAAAACCATTACATTAGATTCTTTGTTTTTGAAAAACAAGACAATTTTACAAGCATATTTCTTTACAGTCAGCATACAGATAAATCTATACATATTGTGTCTCTTTTTAAACATAATCTGTAGGCAAAATATACAGACAAACCATCAACAAAACATGCAACATCCAAAACATAAAGTCTCAGACAACTATTGAAGTTGAATAGATGTTTTTTTTTCCCTTTGAGTTGTTTCAGTCGTTTACGGGACGCGGTTGCACAGACAGTCATTGGTTGACAGCACATGTTTTGATTACACAGTCAACTCCCCTTATACAACTACAAACACGCATTGCTGTACAATTATAAGTCTTCTGTGATTTTTTTTCGACACACACATGCTCAAACTCCGGACAATATAAACATTCAATCTTTGTAGAAAATAAACACTTTATGTACACATGTCAAAGGACTTGAGTCACATTCACACCCCTCAGAACAACAACAAATGGATGGATTCACAATTACAGGCAACAGCTGATATGAAGGAACAGTAATTAGCTTGAGGGAAGTCTAATGAAACACGAGGGGTCAAACAGTCATGACTGAGCATTTAGGGAACATGTCTTATTTACTGTACTTTGTACACAGACTGTTAAGTAGACTATGAACATGATGTAGTAAGATTGATTCCTCCCCAGATTGTGCATTGTGTTTAGGAACCCCAACGTCTGCTTGTTTTTCTTTTGCCACATAGATACAAAATGCACATCACAATATTTTCTGCCACCACATACACCATGATTCAGTTCATTTCAGTGCAGAAACACAAAACACATAATCTTGCATGTCATGACATTTAAAATGAGACAATAAAAAAAACAATATAATAATAAAGTGCACAAGCTCCAAGTAAATACTAACAATTTATATTAAAATCAGTAAAAAAATCAATATATTTAATATTTTCTTTCAGGGATGTACAAATTAAAGTTGTTTTCTATAAGACATATTTTCTTTGACCATATGTTCACAGATATAACATTTAATTCCAAAAAAAGCAAATGCATTCAAACACATCTATGTTGCATAGAATTAAGAACCAATGTGTCTGGAATTAAAACAAATCTAAGTTGGCACAGCAAAATAATTATCTGAAAGATCAACAATGTTCCCTTTCTTATTATATTCTCTTTTTTAAATCCTTTTCTATAAGACTTAAGTGACATCTTGTTCTAAGTGTGTTTGTTGTTTCCTCTGTTATATTTAAAAATTGCATCAGCCCTGTGATATGTCTAAACACACAACAGTAGTTATGAGGGTCACGTGATAGTATTTTTTTCATTCTGCAGATATGGCGGCAAAACATTACAAGATGAATACATGTGTCACCTGCTCCACATTAGTACTGAGACTTAAATATGACTGAACCCCAGTGAGCCTGAGTGAGTCTTTTGGTCACAGGCAGTGAAAGAGGCTGGTTCACTGTGTTGCTGGAGTCACTGACACAAAACAGCACAGTGAGTTTTACAGCACAGCCAGACACACAGAGAAACCTTGACATTCGACTGGTAAGAATTTTTTTTTTTCTTGATTTTCAATATTTTTAAGTAAAACTCAGACCAGGGGGGTTTACTTATCAGAGCTGTCATAATGAGCTGATGACAGTTGCAGACCCACGTGTGGTTTTGACACAACTTGTGTTAATTACATGTCCATTCCAACACTGTAATTACATTAAAGGCTACACAGAAGGAAATATCAGCACACTCTGAGCAACTACAACAGCCTTAAAGTAAAATGTCGTATATATGACACAGTTGGACAAACTCTTGTCAAACTCTTGTCATCATGGTTGGCATGTAACTTTCAACACAGCAACTTCAAAACACAAATGCTTTTCATTTTATTGTAATTCTAACCTGCCTTACACAACAGCATGCCAGTGAAATAGCAATATGTCACTGTTTTTCATCCTTGACCTTTACAATTTGTAATCCATCACAGCCCTGTTGAATATCTAATGGTGTATCAGTGTGATCAGAGGACTGAAGGAGCTATATCCTTGAGCTCACATAGGTCCACGTTCACATAACGGCTATTAAGAGTGCCTACACCATAGACTAAAGTAGCCTACTGGATTGTCAGTGCGCCACCCACAGCCTCAAATAAAGATCATACGTCTATATTTTATTCTATATATTTCAGAGAGAAGAGAACAACTCTTATAGTGTATATTGTACTGTATTTAGATATATTCTGCATCTGATATCTATGTATATTATATAAACATCACACTGTACAATGTGGTTCTCTGATAGGCTCTGTAATCTGCATGTGTGATATCTACAGTCTGTAGTGCTGTACATATTTATCTTTACCCCATAGCAAAAGTCATCTGTCTGTCTCTTTTTCTGTCTCTTTAGACTATAATACAAAAACATGACGCATTCCTTCACCATTAAACACTTCAAGACCACTGAATGAACATCATTTAGGAATTACAATAATGACACATTGTCAGCTGATGATCAAAGTAAAAAAAAAAACGTCTCTCCCTCTGTTATAGATATGTTAGCTCAGTTGCACAGCACCAAAACAACAAAGTCGCCTGTGGATTGTGGAATTGGAACTATGGTAAGAAAGACATCGCTGCTCTCAAAGCCATATTGCTGCTGAGTGCCTGCTTCAGTGCCTGCTGTGGTATTTGCATGTTTGCACCCTACAAGCAAAGTCCACAGCCAGCACAGACTCGATATGGGAAGAGGTGGACATGTGTGCTGGCAGTGTTGGACTGATAAAGTTGGTATGGTACTAGCACATAATTCCCTCCTTCTTATAACTTATGAACAGAGGAAGTTAATTAAATGGATCTTTTTATTTCGTCTTCGTGACATTTTTTTTCCCTCTTATTCTTCTTTCTGTCTAACCGGATCGCTGAACTAGTACATTCTGGCTTCACCTTTTGTCCATCTATCGCATCTCTATCTTTTTGGTGTGGTGCTCAGGGGTTGGTCTGAGTGGAGCTGACGAGCAACTTGTGCCAGCTGACCACTCTCTTCCTCATGTCCACCTTGTCCAGCCAGATGTAGGCTTCCCCGATCAGGGTCTTCTTCATGAACTTGCCTCCATTGGACACCAAGAAAAGCTGGAGATACATTGGAGAGGGGAAACAGATTTGTCATGGCTTATTCTGTTGTTATCTGATGTTTGGGGTTTGTGCTTTCTCAGCTCACACACCCATTCCATCTTGCAAAGTGCACTGGTAAAAGCATGTTATTCAGCATGAATAATGCAAGCACCATTGGGTGTAGTGGTTACAAGACAGCAAAGTCTGATCTATTAATTAATGTTAACCTAAGGAGAAGAAATAAGAAACAAATCAAAACCTTTTAATCTGAAAATTACAAACAAGACTATCAATACATGTATTTGTATTTCTAACACATCACACTTAATTTTTCCTTTAGCCTCGGCCCAAAAAATAGTCGGTGAGCATGAAATAAGATTGCCAGTATTTACAGTCTATGTAGAATTTACCTTTTTATAAAATGTACCAGCTACTTTTAGATGCTCGTATCCTGCAGCCCTCTAGAACGAGGGTTCAATCTCCCAGCTGCTACATGAGGCAGCAGAGCGGTTTATAAAACTTACCGTAATGAGGTTTAAGACTTGTCTGACGTTACAAGCCTCCAGTTTTAATTAGCTACAATAAACCGTGTTTGAGATGCTGGATGTAAACTGAACTGGAATAGGATGAATACACCACAAATTACTGCAAATCTATACATGAAATCAATTCTCTATGATTAATAGGCCAAGCAGATTTTCAAAAAATGTATTAAACGTGATTAAAAAGGAGCAATATTGTGTGACACATCATGTTGGACAGATGGACAGACCTAGATCCATATCTGTCAGTCTACAACTGTCTCATTTGGTGGCCTGTTGTACCTGTATGGAGTGTCCGGTTGAATTGAGGGGGAATCTGAAGGTCTCATTGAAAGAGGGCTCTCTGTCGTGTCGACAAACTCTGGTCTTCTTCTTAATGATCCTCTTCTGAGTGGCTACATTGACCACATACAACTTCACATACAGATCTGAAGGCATATTAGATAAATCATAAATATGGATTAGTTTCTGAAAACACACACCAATATACTTGCACTCATGCATGTGCACAAGTAGGCTACACACTGCTTGCAGACCTGGTAGGTGGTCGGGACTTTTAAACTTGTAAGTGATGTTTCTGCATTGAAGGATCTCCAAGACCAGTTGGTCCCCTTCTGTCTTTACTTCCTTCTTGAGAGCCACCTTGATCTCCCCCATTACTTGTGTTTTACCGCCTGAAAATAAGCATGAAAAAGAGATGTCGGTGATCTGGTTTTTAGAATAAGATGTCTATTTCATTATTTCTTTTATTTGGATAGCCCTGGCTGAACTTTGCTAAGTACTTCAAGGCAGATTCCTATGGTTGCACATAAAAGGATTATCGACTGTTATGTGTCTCCATTGAATTTAAGTATGAGCGTTTTACTAAGGCAGGCCGAGTTAAATGTGTTAAATGAGTTGCCAGGCACCATGGAAATGACCTCCAGACCCTGATCTGTGTAACAGCTGCTAGGCTACAGCCAAAGATGACCTTGGGCTCTTTGTTACAAATTGTAACTAGAGCTGGATGGGAGGCACCATGACACCTGAGCTACATGAAATGTAGACATAGTTATGACAGTGGGTAGGATAGTGTGACATCCACTTCTCTTCCACGATCACAAGCCACGATTGCATTAAGTCATTAGGCAGGGTAAATATTGTTTCTGGACAATAAGCACTTAATTGAGTGTTTGACTCCATAATTAAATGCAGTCATTTTGAAAACACAGTGGAGGTGGTTAAAAGAGGGTCTCGGTAAATAAATAAAGAATAAAAAAATGTTGTTATACAAAGTATCCAGCAGGTGGAGACCTACAAGCAAGTAACAACTGTAAACAGAGGCCATTTATGGAACTTGCCTTCGTTTTCTGGGGTCCCTAGTTGGTTTTTGTCAGTGCCGTTCGGAATAGCCTTACCACTGTGAGAGGAAAAACATATGAGCATCATCAGAACTATTGAATAACAATTTAAAACAAGGCATTACTTTCAGCCTTACACTTTACTGGATGTGCTAAGAATGCGCTGCAAATGGTCTCACATGCGTGGCACTTGAAAAATGGCACTGTCCACTCCAATGCCTGCCTCTTCTTCCCCATCCAGACCTCCATAGGCGTCTCCCACAAGACTCGGGGCAGACAACACCACAGACCCTGAGACATCACCCAGTCGGTGTCCTGGTCCTGAGGGTGGCAAGAGCGAGCGTGATGGTGAGGAAATGATCTATCTATCTATCTATCCATCCATCTGAACATTCATATCTAATCATTTGAAAACAGAAACAAACAGAGAGTGTCTTTACCGACTCAGTTTTTATCACACATGCATACATGTCCAACGGAAACACTTCACACCCCCAGCTCACTGACAGCGACGCTGTCTGCCACACATAACGTGACTGAGCATCACATAACAGCATATCAGAGGAGGGACAGATCAGCGTAGAGGACAGCTTGTCCTTGCATTTAGCAGTGTAGTGTAAATTACCTCGGTTAACTCATGAAGATCACAGCTATTCCCTTCACTGGACATAAATGAAGGTCACTCAGTTTAATTCACAGATGAAAATGAATTTAGTGTGATAAATATGGATGTTCTTTCATATATTTCATTATTTAATTTTGGCTCCTGGCTGCTGTTGAGTTATGCTCTTACAGTATGGAAGAGCGTGATTAGTTCAGGGAATATGTGAAGTGTTTCTGTCTAGACTGAGGGTGGACACATTCTTTGCCTTCATGAGCTCGGTGTCCACTGCCTACATTTGCTTTTAAACAATGACTGATAGTAGTTAGATTGTGTTTGAAACACAATCTGTGGCACAAAGGCAATAACGAAAACATAATTTTATCAATAAAGAAATAAACAAAACAATACACGCACATGCACACTGTCAGACATTCACAGATGTACACACATGAAAATAATGAAATTATAATTATTTTGTTACTTCAATTATTTAAACATTTGGTTATATATTTAAGTTAATTTTGTTTCTTATCCATTTTTTTGTTTTTAGTAATATTGCATTATGCTTAATAAGATAGGATTAATAATATTTAGCAGTACATTTTTCCTATGTTGTCTCACCTTCCCTCGACACTTCTGTTCCTCTCATGGATAGCTGACCGCTTTACTCTCATTAGCCGGTGAGTGAGCCTCCTGTTGACTTTTGAACCTCTTGGTGTGACTGTGTTTCCTGGTTTGACTGCTTCAGTCTCAGATTTGTGTCCCCTTTGTTTAAGGCAGCAGGTTTTGGAGAGGATTGGGTAGGGAGGGGAGCCTGTGTGTCTGTGTGTGTTTTGTCACTTATCTAAGGGTTCATTCATATGGCACACGCATGCACACACAGAGAGAGACTGCAGCATCACAAAGTCCTCAGTGGCCAGGGAACAGTAGTCAGGGAAGCTGCAACTGCATGCTTAAATATTTCTGACACTGTGCTAACTTATCTCAGAAAGGGACGACAACATAGTCCTTTATTGTCAGGACATCACACTAAAAATTAAGCATAAACACAACAATGGATATTGTTTGAATCGTGTTAATATGGTGCAAGACGTGAGGGATTGCCATCCCAGTTTGGTTTCTATACTGGGGTTGGAGATCTCCACACTAGGGTTCTATAGAAACCATATGCTTGGGATTGGCACATGCACAATTCATGTCGAAATAGAGGGGTCTTATTTTGGAACGAATTAAATGTATATTTTTCTTTAGTTTTGTTAGTGTTGAACTCTTCTGCTGTGTAAATACTTTAGTAATAAAGCACCTTTATGTCCTACTTAAGATTCCAAAAATAGGCAGGAAAAAATGTTAAATAAATGGGAAATGTCAAATACAATATTTGGGATGTGTAGTGCACTTACTGTGCCAGATTAATAAACGTTTAATTTTAGATTTAAAGACTGAATAAAATAAGCTTTTAATAGTTCGTTTTGATATATCTCAGTTATTTGTCTTTTTCATCTGCCTTGGATTTTGTTTAGTGATTATATTAGTAACATTGATATAACTTGTAGGAGAAATTAAATTTAGATTATTGAACAAAGCAAATCACGTTTTGTTTAGAGAAAAAGATGAGGAGAGCAGAAGGCAATGTTAAAATATTGAAATGTTAAGGAGGTGAACGCTCAGTGGTTAATGTTTTCATCAAACGATCTCAACAAAGCTTACATGCGCAGGAAAAAGGAAGCATGTCACAGGAAGTGTATCATGGGTAGGGTTGGGATTTACTTGGTTGCAGGCGGGACTGGTGCACGGCAGCCTCTGCGGCAGCAATGGCTATCCCAGCATCCTCAAGGTGGGCCTGAGTGACGCTGCTCTTGCTTTGGCTTCGGGAGGGGCCATGGGAGCGCAGCTGACCATCAGAGGAAGACTTGGAGCTGCCGGGGCTGCTGTGTGACTTTTCCAAAGGCATCATCTGCATGTCTGGAGGAAGAAGAAATGGATGGTTATAACTGCTAATGGAAGGAAAGAGATGTAGATGAATCAGTATTTATTTGTTCTGCTCCACAGCGACCCGTATTGTGCCATGTAGCAGTTGACAAGCACATGAGGTGTAGTTACAGCTGTCAAAAAATTATTAGAATTTTTGTTTCTATTACAACAGCCTCTATCTCTATGACAACTGAGAGCTAAGGTTATGAAAAACAGTTTTTCTTGCATATGGGCACCTGTGTATGTTTCCTGGTGTAAACAAATACTTATTGAGGATTACTTTACCTTTGGATGGATCAGGGAAGATTCCATGGCTTCTGCTCTTGATCACAGAGTTCTTAGGTGAATCATGACTCCCGTCTGGTCCTTGAACCTGTCCCACAGCATATCCAGGGCCTGATATATGGCCCAGGCTGTGTGCCTGACCATAACCCTGATCTGACCCAGACCCTGGTGGGCCTTGAGAAGCACTATGGGCTTTGCTATGCTCAATGCTCTCACTCTGCTCATTCAGAGGCATCCAGCGCGGCGTGTTGTCTAGCAGAGCAGTGTTCGACAAGTCAATCAACACCTGAGACACAATTAACAAACACACACACAGTGACATCAAGAGAAAGAAAAAGAAATATTCAAGACTCACTGATACAAGTGAACACCGAGAGGAATTTGTATGACGGTAAATAACAATACAGTGTGCGCAAAAAGTCTATTTGCTGAAGAATTGTGATGCATTGGCTACTGCAATTTGCACAAAAATAGCTCTTCTCACTATAGAGGTTTACAGGCATGAAGCAAAGCTTGACTTTGAGTTTGTGAGAGGAGGGAGATAAGGCTAATAGTATAAGGTCGTTTTAAGAAAAGCCGGTCCATCGGGGGAGGGAAAGCAGCAGAAACCTCTTTTGTGAGGTAAAAACGAAATGCATTTGACATTTCCACACGCTTTTAATCAGATTCCAAAAGCACTCACTTCTCCAAGGAAGTCATTGGAGGAGGATCTGTCATAGTCCCACACTGTCACCTCCAGCGTCTTTTTCTTTAACTGGATAGTAAGAGGGAAGAAGAGGAGAGAGGGGCACAGATTATGATGAGGGATAATGTGTGCATGTATATGTGTGAGGGAGAGAAATGTGCATCTGTGATTGTTGTCTGTGTTTGTGTGCATGTGAGTGGAGGAAGCATGAAAGAAACAGGCACACTGCATGTGTGTGCAGTGCATGAGTGAATGCAAGCCTACAATAGGAGGGTCATCTACTGTAATAAGAAAGGAAGCAAGGACATCTACTTACGTTAGATTGTGTTTGTTCCAATACATGTTGCATGTGTGCATGTATTTGTGTATGTGTATTTGTATTTAGGAACGTGTGGGAGGAGATGAAAATATATCTCGGGGAGGGAGCGGGCAAACGAACGATGCATCGGCATTTTTAATGCTGGCAGTCTCCTGCCAGCAATGAGATGTGATTAAAACAGAAGGCAGCCCTGGAGGAGCCAATCTATTCTCTGACCACTAAAGCTAGTGCATCTGCACTCATCCCTCTCTGTGGTAGTTACAGTTTGGGTGGTGTCTCTGTCACCAACTACATGTGCTATCAGCGAACACAGAAATCTACAAAGAACACCTGCATATACACAATGACATTTACAAAGTGACAGACAAGCACACAGGAACACGATCACAATGATATTCTCTCACTCTTTTTGTTAAAATGACACGCAATTAGGCTGACTGTGATGAGACTGCATGAGAGCAGAAATGATGGTTGTAAACTTGAGTCTTGGGAATGCTGATAAGAGGTTGCAAAGGGATACAGAGAACAGCCCTGGGGACAAGGCATGAGGACAGAATCCTAAGAGGAATGTTAGACATCCACTTCACCTAAAGTGACACACAGCAACAGTAACTGCACAAGTACGAGGAAGGCAAAGTTTGTGTTTGTTTGTGTGTGTGTGTTAATGTCATTCTGAACTGTACCTGCTCCAAATGAATGTTCTTGTAGATGACGGTCTGGTTCCATTCTGGGTTCATGGTCTTCTGGGCATACTTGGTCCTTCTTTTGTTATCAGCACTGATAAGTCATGATATTCAGAATGATTGGTTGTCAGTAATAAATTAAAATGTCTTTTCCCTGCCTGACCCCATGGCAAACATTCACCAAACTATGATGTACTCAATAAATGTGGACTGAATAGATGCTTGTAAAATAGTCAATCTCCTGGTGTGGAGACATCAGAAACAAATTCAAATGTCATTATTCTGTAAATTGTCTAAGATGCTATCACAAAATGACAAAGTACTTCAGAGATAGAGGCTGTGGAGAGCTAAAAGTGAGAAGCATGGAGAGAAAAAGCAATGACAGGAGTGTTCTTAACACACCATGAAATAGAGCCGATAATTGGACGAACAACGAAGGCCACAACAAAAGGATGGAAAAACACTTTGGAGACATAATTTACAGAAAGAAAAACATAACACCAACAAAAAACAAAGATCAGCACCACACTACCTTGCATTCTGGACAACCATGACTTGGCTGAGGGAGTCCAGAAGAGGAAGAGGAGGGCAGATATCACAAACAAGAAAAGCAAAAACACAAAAAAACAGTCAGAGAAGCTCAGAGAGCTCAAAGAAAAGGCAGTAAAGGATAGAGAGCTGAGGCAATCAACATTCTGGGTGCAGGGTGTATCACTGTGTTTGTGCCCAAGCAATGTATGTGACGCAAGACTGAAAAAATCTCACAATGATTACAACTGGTTCATGGGTGAATGACTAATTCACTATTCTGTTGTTGTTGTTATACCGTGGCTGTGCACTCTACTATTAATGTCTGACAACTACATTTCAAAATACTCTTCAAATGAAACAGCAGGGGAACAAATGTGCTCTTCTACGGAGCTTTTATTCTTAATTTACACAGGGTGTAACAGAGAGGCCTTATAATCTCATAATCATGTCCAATGGGGTCATTATCTAAGAGCACTGTTACAGAATAGATAAAGGCTGTATTGATCCTTTCCCTTGCTGTTCACAGACTCTTGGTGGGATGGTGGATCAGGCAATATACTAGAGGATAGTACTACAATTCTCAATTAAGCAGAGTAAGAGAGAACTTGTGAATTCAGCATATAGTATGTTTGCACACATGTATGCTGTCTATGACCAGGTAATTCAACATATTTTAATGTTGCAGTATGGGAATGGATCTCTTCTTGCAGCTTTGTATCAAGTCTAAAACACCCATCCATTGATTCATAGAGATTGAATCAAATTCAATTATTAATTACCCTACAAATGACTGCCTCATATCATCATGTCCAGTCTCATTCTCTCATACAAACTCAGGTAGTTAGTCAGTTCCGTACAGGACAGTAAATATAAAGTCAGAAAGAAATAGGGGGAGAGAAAACAGGACAGACACAGATGCAGAAAGGCAGACACAGACCAGACATTTGTGAACACTCAAACACACTCAGAGCTCACCCTCTCCCCGGTAAGAGGTAGACCTTGACAAAAGGGTCAGAATAACCGTCGTTGTCCCTCTGGGCCAGGTTTCTAGCCTGCAGGACGTGGACGATCAGGTTTCCTAGGTTCCTGTCATAGTTGATCTGGAGCTGAGGGAAAACGAGTGGAGTGGAGGCTGTGTGAGACCAAGACCAAACTACAGCAGGACATATTTCTTTAGTATTTTTAATACCTGAATTTCTCCAGTGATGGGATGAGGTGTCTTCATTGCTTCGATCGGCTACAAGAAAATGAAGGAGGAGCATACAATGATTGTAAAATTAGTGTTTCGTGTCCTGACCCACAAAGAAAAGCTTGCACCAGACTTGCCTGGGATTAGGATGCAGTGAATCTTGCTCTGACTTCACTCTTGAAATATATATTGCCAGCTTACAGATGAATAGGTTGTCCTTGTAGAAAAGATGCAGTGTAAAGATTTCTTACTGGATCTATATCTCGCTCAGGAGAGGTTTGACTATGGAAGCTTTCTAATTGACTGGGAAGTCCTTCAGTGAAGTTTGAGAAGGTTAATCAATTATTTGAGGTACTTAGACGTTAATAAAACATGTCAATTTCAGTTTAGATGATTTCCAAAGTACAAACACAATATATTCTGTACACGGCAGACATCACCATTTGCTTTTACATAATGCATTCTCTTTTTTCTATCAGTGTGACATGCTTTTCAAAAATCAAGCATTTAAACATTTGCTTATAATAAAGCACGTATGCATATGTTTCCTATTGCTTGTGTAAAGAACACCCATACACAGGGTCATGCACTGCACCACAGGTTCTTATTCTGTAATTGGCCTGCCACTATTTGATGAACACAGCCACACCAGTTGGCCTTCACATAAAACCTCCCCCTTGTAGTGTCAGTATGCATGATGTAATACTAATGGGGGTGCACGGGGTTCCACATACTGCGGCTCAAAACAGATCCATACTATTATTCATTCAAAATAGATTTACATTTTACACAATGTATCAACCTTTGACATATGAACCAGTTCTTCCCTTTCTATATTCCTTTTTGTCATCACATTGCAAACGGAACTCTTTACAACTGAAGTGTGTGTCTGAGATGAGGCAGCAGAAAGTGCTACTAAATCAAATCCACAACCTTGTGTCGTTGTTTCTTGTTTATGGCAGGGGATGCGGGCTGGCCGGGGCTTGGCACACCACTGGAGGCAGCTGATCCAGTACCCGAGTGGAGGATGGCAGATCGCTCCAGTGCAGAGAGGACACCCAAACCTCCTGGCCCGAGCCCTACCCCAGCCATACCAGGAGCCAGCTGCTGGGACACCTTCTGCAGTTCTGCCGCCAGCTGCTTAGGATCTACACCAGGGGAACGCTGCCCACCTACTGAAACAAATACGTAGAGCAATTCACCTTGTATTTATGTGAAATAGGTACACAGATACATGCATGCATGCAGACGTATCAACAAATTCTTGTACATACCAGCCTTAAGCTGGACATGGTGCTCCAGGGCTTGTGGGTGCTCAGGGTCAGACAGCATATTAAGGTCGCTGTTTGGATCCATACAGGATATAATGGAATATCAACCAGTGTATTTTAGCAGTAATCAGTCATAGAGTGATATTTGATGATGGGGTGTGGAATGAAGGGAAGGGAAAGGAGGGAGGAGAGAAGGTGTACGTTGGTGCAGAGTTACCATATTGCGACTAAACACGTTGAAGTTTCAGTGGGATGGAGGGGTAAATGATGACAGATGTAACTCACAGTCTCACACAGAGCTCCGCCTCTGCACATGGCTGGCCCATGATGCACTGCACTTCTTCATAAGTCTTTCCCGTCAGAGGGATTCCGTTCCACTCCAACACCTGCATTCCTGGGGTGTGATAAAGGCAGGCAGGCAGATTCAGAGACAAAAGCGTATTATCAATTCCCAGACAATATGTTATAGCTTTTCAGCAAATTCCTTTCACCCCCTCTCTGTATATGGAACATGATTCAGCCTACATACTCACGTAGCAGAGGAAATACTTTAATTTGTAGTACACCCAGTGTGAAACTAAAATTTTTAATTTGGCTGTGGTGTTGACTTTATCATTGAATCATTACAGCATTGCACACATAGATTTTAACAATCATATTTGTTTTTACTCAAACAAAGAATGGCATATCAGATGTAAAATAAATGAGACAAAATAATGCATCTCAAATAGTAATATTAAAATGTATACAGAAATTAGTGCACAGCAAACTCAAACTTCCACCCCAAGGCCAGAGCTTTAAGAGGCCTCACTTACAAACAAATCTAGTCTTCATATTAGACTTTTGCTTTTGAATGAACTCACCAGCTGCTGTGATAATAAAGGCTTGATTCAATATCTCTACATCCTTCTGCATTAGCCAATGCTCATTTAGAGTATTCCCTCCTCTCTCTCTACATCCTTCTCCGTATCCTCCCCCACTTTATTTCACTTTGCACCTGAAGGCATGTTCCGCTGAAACATACACATCTTTCAATTCAGCATACGCTTGAACACTGCCAGCCTGACCACTATTCCTGTTTCTTTATTACAACTAATAACGCCATGAAAAGGGAACCCCGTCTAACCTTTTCTATCCTATTATTTCCAAACCAAAAAAATGAATAAAACGCATCAGACCAAGAACGAATACATTAGCTGATCTGTCCTTCACCACCCGCCCTTGTGCAATAACAATTACCTATGATGTAGTTATATTTAAAGAGAGAAACTAGAAATAAACCAATTTTGTTCTCAAAATATTTTCAAACTATGGGAATTACGATTAATATTCAGGCTCATCTCTGTCCAAAGAATAAACATAGGAAGATCATTTGAAAAATTCTAACAACCTAATGTACAATTTAATGATTATGGATTTCTTAACATTTATAAAGCTCATTATTGTGTGTTTTTGTCTATGCCTGCCTCCATGTATTTGTGAGTCTATAATGATGCTAAATATAGCCTATGACTAACACAGCCCAGTACTGTCGAGGGTGAGTTGACAGGCTTTTTCTGTGTTTGGATGTGTTGTGTTGGGGGAATGAGACATGACAGACCACAACACAGAAGGCTACTTCAGCCTCTCACATCTCCATCTGGAATTCAGTGATTCAGGGATTTAACTGAAGACTTATGCACTTGCACTGCCCTAAAAATAATAACAGTTTAAAGATTTGCATTTACACCCTTAAACTCTCCGGCTTCAGCAATGTTATTTCTTACAATGTGTAGCAAAGACAAATGAACACACCTTATATACCTTAATTTGAACAGCATGTTCTCTTGTTGAATGATGTGTTTTTCTCACTATTACAAACTTAACTTAACATTGTATTTTCCATTTTTTCCATTCTAAATGTGAATGTTGTATTTTCAGATTAGAAAATAATAATGGACATTTTAAATATGCCAAATAAGCCAGTTGGGGCAGATATACACTCATTATTACCACCACTTTTTCTCATTTTCCTCTTACCCTCTGCAACGTTTCCTGTTTGTTCGGCCACACCACCAGGGATAACCTTGGCAATGTAGGCTCCAATCTCTCCTCGGCTACCCGGCACCTCCTTCCCACCTACCACACGGATCCCAAGACCGTTCCCTGAGGGAAAAATAAACGTCCAAATCCTAATTAGCTAAAGGGTGATAGAACATGATTGTGTGCAATCATTGAATGCAATGTCTATGTGTTCTACCTGACACACTGGTGTCTTTTGGGTCTCTCTTCAGCTTGATGCAAGTGTGAGGGAAGGCATAAGGCACCAGATTCATCTGAAATTTCAAAGAATTTACAACATGAAGAAAATTTAATTCCTTACAGAATACATATCAGGTTTAGTGTTTGAGTGAAAATGTAAATAAAGAAGGCAAACTGTGAAGTGTGTATAGTGTGAAGTTGAATGTTGTTGCTTGGATCTCACCTGTCTCCTGTCCGACATGTTTCCACTCTGCGGATGTCCTTCTCTTGGCTTATCAAACCAATCTGTGTCCTCCCTTCTCAGGTGGTAGGCTAGACAGGGAGAGACTGCGGTTAACAGCCATGCTCACAGAAAAACACACCTACTTTATCCCCAATAGCTTGATAAATATCTGATATAAACATGGTAATGACTACTTGGACAGCGATCCATCTTGCAATCAAGCTTTGGAAACAGTATGCATCACAAATTGTATTACACATCCCTCCATGTTTATACAAATACAGGAAGATCTTTCCTGAATAGATAGGTGAAAGCAAATAGGTATAACATCTAGTCCACCCTATCAATGCCGACTGTGAGATCAAATGATCACTGCAAGCACTGAATGAAAGATTAATACATTTCAAGAGCATTTTAAGTTTAGCATGCTTTTGATACCATGCATTGCTCCCCGTCTCAGTGTGAGGGCTCTTCTTTGTCCACATTTTCATAGCTGCTGTATATGAAACATTGTTGTTGAAAGAAGCCCTTGAAAATGATGTACTATTACTTAATAATTTCAGACAAAACACTGTGGGTTGGAGTTGTCCCATTGTGTGTTTTATTCCAATAATAAATAAAAAAAATAATAATGCTATTAATAATAGTAAGAATATGAATAATAAGAATATAGTATAACAGTATGTTGTAGTATAGTAGTATAAATAATAGTGATAGTAAATATTTCGTACTTTTTTCTTAATAAAATAATTTTGAGAGTGAAGGTGGAGAAATATCTTCACAGTATCTTAGACCTTCCTGTAGTCTATAGTAGAGGATCAAAAACCATATAACTGTAAAGCGATACTACACTATGCTAATGTATTGATGATGTACTATGTTATGTGTACTGTGAAACCCCCAAAGCCCATCATACAGACATCTAACACCTTTAAAGCATGATATATAAAACCAGAAGACAATGAATGTCTTGTGGTACATTTGGCATCATTATTGCAAGGCTCAAAAACCATCTAAAGCCATGGTAACAAGGCAGGTTGGTGGAGAATGTTCTATAATAGAAATGTGAGTCATCACTTTGGTGTTCCATGCAATAGATCGTCACTAATGATAGAATGTGCATAGGTCTGCCAAATGTCTCTTTGTATTATCAGTGATCTAATTCCACCAAAGTAAATGTGCCAATAACGATGAGAAGAAATGAGCTGATGACTTTATACGCTGAAGGTAAATGTTGCCTGTTAGCTAAATGTCTTTGATTAGAGAAGGAAGCACTTATCAGTTCTTATTTAGTATTAGGGTTTTCTTTGGCAACATCGACCTTCAGAATTCTATAAACAAATTGGATAAAATGTCTTAACATATATGCGCTGCGATAGCATTTGAAACACATTTTGTGGTAACACTTATGCATGATCACACAATACACATGCATGAACATGAATACTGGAAATGGGTCTGATATGCTTACAGAAGCATTGTAATGTGCAGTCATTGCAAAATGATTTATAACTGAAGTCACTTTAGTATATGACTTGTAAAAAAAAACATCTAGTGCCATTAAGATGGGGTTCATTCCAGAATGTATCTGACATGTCAACTAAGAGAGACCTGCTAAATGACATGTATTGTATACTACTGAGATGTGGGTCATTCCAGAATGAGTCTGGATTGGTTTCCAAAATCAACCAGAGAAGTGAACCCGTCAGAACGATGATATGCGGCATGGAGGCATACAGTCTATGTAATTACATGGAATTGTGATGCTGTCTCACCTTCTATATTCCAGTTTGGGCCTCCAGCTGGGGTACAAAGTTATATGTTTTTTTTAGAAATGCGTTCAACACATGTTCAGTCATCTAAAAAACTACAGGAACTGCGCTAACACTAGATTTGTATTATGAGTATACTTCAGCACATGCACTGAAATCAGCATGCTTGAAATTACTGCAAGTCTGACATTACTAGCCTGTCGGACAGTTTAATTTAGGTGTAATTTAAGCAGTAGCGTTAAGAAAAAAAAGCTGTCAACCTGTCAATTAATGTATGATTGAGCCAAAGCAGTACTATTGAAATAATGTTTTTTAACTAGTACTGTAAAATACTCTACCGTGTCTGATACTTTCATGAAAGATTCTGGCATCATCTCTGTTCAAAGCCAGCATGGATTCACTTAGTGCTGTAATCAAGGCAGATGGACACTTTTACCTGGGGTCAGGACAAATATCACCTTCTTATCAAAGATTTAACCATACTGATCCTCAGTGTGCATAATGGTCCAGAAACATATCTAAAGTTGCTAAACATATTTGTTGTTGTTATGCATAATGATACTTATTTGATAATCAATGTGAATGACTTCAAACCTTCTTAAACTTAGTCCCAATCAAGCAACTGTTTTGCAAAAGTCATTGGCCTTTCATATTGTATTTTTTTTACAATGTCTAAGTATAACTGTTTGTACTAAATGCATAACCTACTATATCCAATTAAATCTTAAAAATAACTTTTAAAGTGGTATATTGAGATCTACAGAAATTGATTTGTCTAACCTAATGGAACACTACCAATCCCACTCTTACAAAATGGACATGGTACATGTCAATATTTGCTATCAATCACTTGGGGACATGGACATCTCACATTGCAACGACATCCACAGCAACAACCAACAAGCAGAAAACATTCACTTTATTGAAATGGAAATGGAAAACATAAATATTGCACAACATGCAAGGATGCAAAATCAGATACAGACAGAAAATTAAAGACATACAATTGCATACAAGACAAATAAGACACGATAATATGGTTCTTAATGTTATTTGTAACAGTACACATAACTGTACGGTAGTCCTTGAGAAAAAGTAATTGCATTGCAGTATGGGTTGAAATGTACTCCTGGACATTTGATTATTCTTTAATTAGTAGGTGTGTGTCACTGACTTGCTAATAGTTAAAGAAAAGTAACTACACAAAGTGAATCCCTTAACTGTACTGAGGACATCTAGACACGATGATTCAGCAGTATTCCTTTAAACTTCCTGCTGCTAGTTGTATTCCAAAATAGCTGAAACGATGTGTAAGACAAGTAAAAATATACTTCTCTTCTGAAACGAGGACCTACATATTGTGCTTTGCAGATTGGTGGGGGAGGGTTTGAAAAAAGACAGAGAGGATCCCTAGACACTCCTTGTCAATCCTTCATGTAAAAGTCCTTGACAGTAAAAGTCCTTTACAGCGTCTCAAACACTCTAAATGTCATTAACCAAACAGTCTGAGACATGTACAGTATATCATTAGCATTATTATTATCATTAAACATGTGTATATGTACACATATAATCATACAATATGTAAGTGATGCATAAGTTATTGTAATTTAGTGTATATTTAAGAGGCACATATGATAAAATTATAAAATATCTATTTGTTCTATTTGAACATACTTTTACGTGATTTAAGAAATACTTAAATGTCACACATTTTAGAGATTTTTTCTTAATCTTCTATGTAACTTCTATTAAAAAGTGCTTTGTGGTATCTCACTTTTAAAGATAAAAAAATAGGTTTACCCTATCAGCACATTTCTGAATAACCATTCATTTCTGCTATTATGTGCCACAGCTTTCTGTGCAATTACTGCATTATATCTATCATGTATTCACTGAATATCCTCAGTGAAGATAGTTCGGGGTGACTGTCAACAATATATTTCTTATAATTATAATAGTAATAATAATAATAATAATAATAATATATTTGGGCTTTCACGAAGAATAAGGCAGCCTTAATGAGGACAATGTGTATGAATAACTTCAAGCCCCTAGATTTTGTGCATACCAGTTGTGCTACCACTGAGTTTTAGAAGTAAGGATAATAATGTAACTATGAAGAGGTAAAGTCATTGTACAATAAAAAGACAAAGCATGCTGAAGAAATCATATGACAAACATGGATAGAACTGATTAGTGACATACATAAACTCAGGCCAAGAGTATTATGTATCGGTGAGTAAGATATTAAAAAGAAAGGAAACAGCAGGCAAACATCTAATGGGACATTTACCGTGAGAGAGGGAAATATAGTAATGAACAACCAACAACAACTATCTGGAACACTGATGATTAAGAAAGAACCAGTTAATGCACAAACTTAGTAAGACCACTCAGCATTTGCATGCATGACAAGCATGTCCACACAGTCGTGTTGCTGCAACACTATCAGGCTCCATTTACCTTCGCTGTCAGACATGGCACCTTGCAAGTCATCCATGATGAATGCGATGTCTCGATCATAGCCTCGTGTCCGAGATTCCTCCCTCATATGTTGCTGTACCTCTGGCAGGGAATGGCTGGACCCAAATTGATCCCTGGAATCAGCAGAGATGGGAGGAAGAGGTCCAGCTGAGGCTCTAGCCATACCCATAGGCTGCCCCACCGGGCTCAGAGGGCTCTCCTCCTCAGAATTCTGAGACACAAAAGGAATGCGTCCCCTACTTTGGCTTATAGGGAGACTGGTGGGCTTTGCTCTGGCCACCCCAGGAGCAAATGCAGCATCTAGGACCTCTCCTTCTGTTTTTAGTCGAAGTGAGGAGCTGGATAGGTCCCGTTTGATAGATAGATCCAAGCCATAGACAGAAGAGGGGCGGGAGGAAGGGCGTGATGAGGGGCGGGAACGGGTGCCACTTGGGTAGGTACCATCATCCTGGGCAGGGGCCCTGATAGTGGATCCAACTCCGAGGGACTGTCCAAAATTAAGAGAACCAGCTAAATTGGCCCCTAGGGAGGAGCCTAAATATTTTTGCTGCTCAGACAAGTTTTTTCTTAGCCCAAATGTAATCTCATCCTGAAGCAACCTAGCTGTAGCAGCCAGATTGGTCACAGAGGAGGCCCCAGATCCCATGTAGCTGCCAAAGTCAGGCTCCAGGTCCCTACTCTCTTGAATTGGGGAACATTTTATGATAGCCTTAGGATCTATTACGGCCTTTTTGTTCTTCATCTGTTTCTGGAAAAGCACAGCTGCTGGGAGTTGCTTTGCAGCCTGTTTTTCAAGGGTGAGCCTGCCAATGCTGTACTTCTCTCCTTTAGGGAAGTGACGAAAACTGCCATCACTGGGGAGATAATGAGGAAGGCCGAGCCCTGTTAAGTGTTCTAGTCCCTCAGTTCCTCGCCTGAACTCCTGTTTGATCTGCTGTTTCAGTAGCTTTAGCTCATAAGGCTCCTCCATTGTCTCATCTTCTCCTTTGCCATAACCCTGAAGTCGAGATGAGCCTAAAAAATCTGCCACCTAAATGGGAAAAATAATATGTCACACATTGAATGTTTTCTGAAAAGTAATTTTATTTTACTAAGAATTAAACTCACACAACAAATGCATTTTTTTTGTTACCTATACCTCAAAAATGCGTGATCAGTGATATATACAGATGTGGCCAGACTGAACCAATGTGTCTTCATTTGTTTATGCAAGGGCTGAACATTTAGGAACATAACTTTTCATATACCTCGATATCTGTCTGGCCAAAACCCTGTAGTATCAACCCAACAGCTAAAGCTTTGTTTTGCTGCCATCCGTTTTGCATGCATTCATCATTGGAATAAAAAAAGCAGTATAGCAATGCTCTCAAATTTCAAAATTGTGTATGTTCAGTGGCTGTAAGATCAAAATAGAAATATAGCACGAGGAGATAAGAAAGATAAAAATGCGTATGATGTAACAATACAGTATTTACCTCTGCTGTGCGCCTGACTTCTGCTGCCCTGAGTAGTCTGTCTGCCTTGGACAACTCCTTATCAGGAATGTTGAATCCAGAACCCAAGCCGGTGTTGCTCAGCCCCGTCGAGGCCTTGGTGAGCTCCCCTATGTCCTCTATCAGCACGTAGTTCCTGGAGTTGTGGTGGTCAATATCAGCATAGAAGGAATCAGCAGAAATGCTAGACATGGGACTAGAGCCCATGCTCCTTTGGCCTAGCCCCAGCCTCAAGTCCAAGCTGCCATACTTGCCCCCCAGGTGAGCAACACTATAACCACTTTCTGTGGAGGTTGGCACAATGAGCAGAGGCTGGTTGTGTATCACTTCATAGTTGGTGGTGATCTTAGGCTCTAAATCAGACAGGGTAGTTTGTCGCTGCTTTCCCTGCTGCAAGAGCAGTGCATGTTGGTAGTTGCTAGACTGACCCTGGGCATGGGGGAGGGATAGGGTTGAGTAAGGAGACACCTGTTGGTGGTAAAGGGACTGCTGCTGATATAGGTTCTGTTGGGTGTAGTGGCTGGTGGTTAGGGTCTGGGGAAGATACTGAGCATAGTGAGAGTAGGGACTAGTTAGTGTGTTGTACTGGGAATCAGCTTCAGTCTGGGGAGGGATGAACTGATCCAACTCAGACTGGGGAGCTGTCCGTGGTCTCTCCTGGCCATCACCCCTGGCCTCTCTGATGTTGCTAACCTCACTGTCTGACATGTAGTCTCTTTCCTCTGCCACCCCCTGGAGATAGGCCCTCTCTCTCTTCTCTCTCTCCTTCAGCAAGGCCTCCTTACGCCGGTTGATACCCATCTCAAGGTACCTACAGTAATAACGAAAAAGGATACATATTGTTTTACAATTTAAGCATTACCAACTCTATCAACATTACAACCAAAGAGGAAAAAAAAAAATTCCAGGTTCTCACACAATAGTACCTTTTGTATGAGTGTGACATGTGTGAGTGTTGAGAGATCTCACTGAGTGATGTCAAGGCAGCCTTTTAGCCCATAAGCTATCAAGGTAAGAGGGGAATCATGTAGATTAATTAGGAATAATTATTGCATGAGAGGGAGAAATGCAATGATATTAGTTGTAATTAATTCATGACATATTATTAGTTATTACATTAGTTGTCAATGACATAATGTCACAGGGTCTGAAAAAAGGTGCAAGCCTAAATCCTGAATATTGTTGATGTCAAATCCACAGCATCTTACCGTAGTTTTGCATCAATCTCTTTCTCTTCTTCATCTAGCTCAGCTTGTTTCTTGCGAAGTTTAGAAGATTCTCTTTCCACCAGATCAAGCTCCTTGTCAATGTCCTGCAAGATCTTTGCCCGGGCCATTGTTGTACTGCGGGCAAGACGACGACGTGCAGAGTTGGTGCTGTAGCCTGAACGTCCTGCCAAAGAGTCATCCTCAGGAGGGGGATCTGGTAGTGTCCGTTTTACCTTCTTACCTGTACCAGAGGGAGAGCCTCGACTCTAGAACATAAAACAAATTATAAATCTGTCAATCATTGAATAATGATTAAAAACACAATTATATTACAATTCACTGTATTGTTCTCTATCATTTTTGTATTTAAAGCATTTTCATCATTCTGAAACTATCATAAGCACAGTAATTATTGTTATCAATAATAATGAGACAGTTTTTTTTCCATTTATATTCTGCTACGACTTACAGAATAGCTGTCTGCGTAGTATCCACCCATCCTGTCATCTGTGGTAGGACTAAGGGATTTAGGATCAGAGTGAGACTTCTGACCAGCCTTTAATATACGAGGGCCAGAGGAAAATCTGGTTGGGTCAGCAGTCAACATTCTCTGCCCTCCAAGGGACTTTTCCGGGGACATGGGGGAGACTGAGGTGTAGAAGACTTTTGACTTGAATGGGACATCTGCTGTTAGGTGTGTGCTGTACCCTACCTCAATCGGTGTGAGCCTTCTATCTGAGTCTGTCTGACAGCTCAGACTGCCACCTCTCTGAGAGTTCTCTGGAGCTGAAATATGCTTGATAATTTCCACCTTAGTGTCTATCTGGACACTGGGTCGTTTGATTGTTCCAGAGTGGTCAGTCTGCACAGATATTTCCGCCACTGTTTGGATAGCAATGCTAGAGACCTTGGAGCCATGTTTCCCATCGCTGCTGTGTTTTCGAGAGCGTCGTCGAGCTTTTGTGGGAGCATCCCATTCATCTTGGTCCTCATCATCAGTCTGAGCTGAGCTATCAACATTTCTCTTATTCTTCTTTCTCCTTCCTACATGTTGCTTCTCTGCTGAGTCTTCATCATCTGTCTGCACTCCACTATCAATTATTCTTTTCCCTGTGTCCTGATCAGCCTTAAGGCTCTTTCCAAGATTAAACTGGTCCTGACTTTCCTCTAACTGTGTCCCAATTGATGGAGTTGTAGACTCATCTTTGACAGGCCAGTACTGGCCACTGTCCCCTACCCCTGCATATTTAGCATCTAGGAGGTTTCCTGTGGTACCAGTGCTACCATAGTGCTCATCAAGCTGGCGTTGGAGTTGTAGTTGGAGTTGTTGGATTTGCTGCAACTGCTCTTTCTGCTGGGTATAGGTCTCCTGCTGGGCCACCATGTGGGCATGGTGCTCTTCTTCTTGCTGCATGAGAAGCTGCTGTTTTAGAGCTTGAAGCTCCTCAAGCTCCCTTTGGACCATAAGCTGCTCCTGTTCACGGTAACGCTGGATCTCTTGCCTCTCCCACTCCAGCTCCTCAGCGAGACAAAGCTGCTTAAGCTTCTCTAGCTCTAGAAACTCCCTCTCCATCTGATACTGGGCCATCTTTGTGTTGTCTAAGCCAGGGAATATTGGGGAAGAGGCTAGGGCATCCAGAGAGGCAGCAATTGCTTCCAGGGTGGTGTCTGAGTACATGTCTGGATATCCTGTAATGATGTCAGCCAAAGCTGTGGGTAGAAGCTCCTTAGGTAGCCCTGTGTCAAAAGTAATTATCTGTCCAGGGTCTGTACTGGGAATGAAGCCATACGGATGAGGCAATGACTGGTTCTGGACTGTTGATGTAGGTGTTAAGGTATTGCTAAAGATGGAGCCCGGTTGAGTTATAATTGCATACGTGGATGGAACTGGGGCAGCAATAGAGGAGTACACTATTCCATCTGAGGTTCTTAGAACACCATTCACACCAAACCCAGCTGCAGGGACCTGGGAGTATGGAGCAGCAATCGTCCCAGAGTAGATTCCAGTAGCTTTGCTAGTGTAGTCTAGAGCTTTACCTGCCATAATAAGTCCAAAGATATAGATTTTACTTTATCAAATACATTATTATTTCATAAACAAACATACTGAACTGTATGAGTTGAAGGTCATGCAATTTTGATTTTAAAAGACTCTCATTTCACATGCATTTCTGTAGTCATTTTGGCTAGCAAGATGCAAAACCAAAATATTGAGGGAGCACACGGAGGCACACACATGCATCTGTATGAAGACAAAAGAAATAAAAGCAGGTTTTAATATTTATTGAAAACATGCATATACCAATAAAGCAAATGAAATAGTAATGGAAAGACTGACTTTATAAACTTAAAGGGAACAAAACCACATATGCCTTAAGTAAGCAAAGAAATTAACTGTAATTGATGATGTATGAGTTAAAGAGTAAACACATTTGGTAAATAAAAGTTTCAAGTCTATTAAAACAATTAAATGCAAGCCCATAAAGCAAGCACAGAGCATGGTCATACAAACACTGCAAATATACAGAAAAAGCCCCATACTCACCAGAAGAAAGTCTGGCAGCAGTGAGGTCTATAGCGCCATCTGAAGATCCACTGAGATAGTCATAGTCATTCTTGGGATCATAGGAAAACAGTCCTGCCTCTGTCAGGTTGGTCTCAGACATTGAGGCTTTTATACCATCCATGCCTTTGATGCCATACAGTCCAGCATTATCATATTGGTAGTGGTCATCTCTATAGCCAAAACGGTTGTCAGGTTGGGTTGTAACAGGGGGCTGTGTTCTGCAGTTTCCTGTAAATGGTAGCTTGTAAATGACATCACAGCACACAATCCTCCTACCAGCTGTAAGGTCGACTGGAGTCCCATCATCCTCTATAACAGTGGTCACCACTCCTGGGCTTGTGTCAGACAAAGCGACCATCGCTCTCACTGGTCTGTAGTTTGACAGATCCATAGCCCCTGTGGCCTCTAGAGAAAGGACAGCACCTTCATTGCTGATAGCTGCTGAGGAAGTCATTGGCTGTTTGCCACCCAAGGAAACGAGAGCTCCAAAGGAAAGATTAATGGGTATGTCTTGAGCTGTGGATGCTACAGCACTGACTACAGGATAGGAATTCACAGGTCTGTATACAATCTGAGCTAGTGGTTCGAATGGTTTGTATGTAGTGAGAGGCAGCGGCAATGAAGAAACAGGGCCTTGCAAATCGAGGGGTTTCTCAGCTGGAGTAGTGTTGTATGAGGCAATGGTGGCTGTGCATGTGACTATTGTGATGCTGTCTGTGACCACAGACAGCGTGGTTGCAGGGGTGATCTCTGCACTAAGATTTACTATCTCAGGCTGCACTGCTGTGATTTGGCGGCCACTAGAGTCACTTGAAAAAGACTGTCGACATGACTCAGGTGGTGTTAGGTCCATGCCTTGCTCAGTCATCTTTATTTCAACCTTCATGGTTCGTAAATCGATGACATCACCAGGGTAGATTATCTTTCCATTGTGTTTTGGCAGAGGTTGGACTTTCGCTACGTCTGGTTGTATGGTGATTGCTACACTGTGTCGAGGTACTTGTGGAAGTCTTTCATGAACAACAGACACAGTGGTCCTCTGGACCTCAGTGGTAACCACCTGAGTGACAAGGCTTGGCAGGCTTTCAGGAGGCTGGCCTGAGGTGGATATTGAAGAAGAATACATGTGACTCATACTAGAGACCACCTTTTCTTGTCGTCGAATCTCTTGGCTCTCAATAGACTCCTGCTGAATTTTAGTGATAGTGACTGGAGCCACAGATACACCCTGTGGAATGGCCTGTGCAGTGGGCATTGAGGTTCTTCTGGTATATGCCTCAGTGGTTATTATCTCCAGAGGATGATCATATTCCGATGAATAAGTTGATACCTGTGGTATTTGTTCTGTTGAATAAATGGATCCTCTCCTGTAGGGGCTCTGAACAGCATAGCCATCAATCGGAATATCTTTTTCAGCTGGCATGTTTACTACATGTGCCAATGGCAATGATTGCTGCATGGTTATGGATTCTCTCCTGGTGGCAGCAAAGGCCTCAGTTGCAATCACCTGGGTGGGTATTTCATACTCTGTGGGATAGGTATACATTTCACTTGTGCTGTATGTTGGCTGCACTATGGACGATATAGATGACCTCCTACTCGTAGTTTCCCCAGTTGAAATAAATCCAACTGGCATCCCAGCAGCTGCCAGGGACTGCAACACTGATGGTAACATTGAAGCTCTTACATCAACATCCTTTGGTATAATCTCTGTGGTTGTCTCACGTTCAGGCTCCAATGCTATGACCTCCAGTGGTGGCGTTGAAGGTGACATGACTGAGGATGTAATTGCTCCATAGACCTGTGGAATAGGTACTTCTGGCTGTACTGCCATTGGTTGGACTTGCATCACGAGAGGTGATGGTGTTACATTTCCAATTGTAGGAGTTATCATCTTTGTAACTGTAGTTAGTGACATTAACTTAGCTACTTCTGGTGTTGGGGTAATTTCAACAACCACAGATAGAGGATAAGGAACTGGACATACTGTTGCTAATCCTGGTATTCTAGCAGCAGTGTCAATTGTAATAATCTCTTTAGGTAATTCACTTGCAGGGAGGGGCAACACTTCAGCAACAAGAAGTGGATACTGTGAGGATAGCTGCCCTGTCACTAAAGGCAAAACTTCAGTTTGTGGTACTAATGGGAGTTCAGCAATGGTGGGAATCTTGTTAAAAAATGTAGACAATTCTTGCTCTGTAGAGTGAGTCACTACTTCAACTAATGTAAGTGGCTGTTGAGGAGGAATTTGCTGACTCACTCCTGGTATTGGTGATTTAACCATTACTGTCTCGGTGACTATGACATGAGTAGGCATATCTTGTTCTTGGTGTAGCATTCCTATTTGAGCTGCAACTTGTGGATAAGGAACAGTAGTGGGAACTGCAGCTGGTCTTTCTTGGGGAACTAGTGCAACTAAAGGTACCTCCATTGTCAGTGGTACAGTAACAACTTCTGTAAAAGGCTGTGGCTGCACAGGTACAGTTGGTATTGGGGCCTGTGGAACTAATGCTTCAGCTGGAGGAACTGTTACAACTTCCGTGAATATGTTTGGATGTTGAGCAACAAGTGGTATAGAGTGGGATCTTGCTGTGGCTTGAACTGTTAGTGGTTGAATAAGAACCTTTGGCTCTGGGGGCATTGTGATTACCTCATACATTGTTTGAGGTGGTGGCAGTGGCTGAGTAATGAATTGCTGCTGTTGCACATATGGTTTCTTAATTGGAAGAGGTACACTATGTGCCTGAATAGATGTGACCTGACCTGATGACACTACAATGACATCAGCAATAGATGGTGGTGGTAATACTGCAGAAACCACGTAGTCTCTCCTGGTTGGCACTTTATTAGCCTCAACTTCATAGCGTGTTACCTGCTCTACTGCCACAGTTGGATCTATGGATATTGGAGGTGGATGCCTTACAGTGGGGACAGAGGCTCTCCGAACTGTAGCCTGTGCTGAGAATGCCTCAGTGGATGTTTTTTGCTCTGAAGGTGTGGTCCGTACCCCTGATACTTTTGTAGATGGGATGGAGCCTCGTCTTACAGGTGCCTGGACTGTTATAACTTCTGTTGGTGAGCCAGGCTCAGATGGAAGGGTTATCACCACATAGGTTTGCAAACATTTGGAGTGTCTAGGAGACAAAGGTGACTTAGGAGATGTTGCACTCAACTTGGATTCCACTGGCTGTGTCAGGCTAAGTGACAGAGCATTTGGAGGTTTTTTGATCCTAGGTAGTGTTGCAGCTTTGGGGGCCACAGAAGGAGGAGGTGGCTTGACACTCTCTCCTGGCTTATGGCTGAAAACCAGTCCAGCTGGAATTGATATAGGCTTAGGTGGTATGGGTGGAGGAGGCTTTGCGGTTTGACAAGGGCCAGCTGTTGTATCAGAAGCTTGTGCTACTGTTGCTGTGGCAATCATCACTGTAGTGGAAACCATCGGCTTTGGATACACAGTTGGCTTGGGTAAAGTGGTAGGAGGTGGTAGAGATGTATCTGCTACAGGTATTTCGACTGTGTCTACAACTTTTGTACCTGTCATAGGTTTCAGCGGAAGGGGTGGAGCTGAAGCTACTGGCACTGCTGACACCTTAGTGGATAGTGAATCTGTGTCTGTCCTGGGTATATCTGAAGCTATTTGACTACTTTGTTGCAGAGACGTAGTGGCAGTTACTGACCCTGTGCTAGCTATATCTTGTGGGGTTTGTCTAAGCAGAGACATGTTTTCCCCACTTGGCACGATGATGACTACATGCCCTTGTCTGGTTGGGGTCACTACCTGAGGTACAGCCACACTATCTGGTGGCATGTCTTCCATTCCTGGCTGTATATCCACAAATACAGACTGCATTTGCTGGCTGGCCACTGTGGTTCCCCTAGCTATGGTGGTGGTCATAGTCGGGGTGACATGCTGAACAGTCCTTACAAGTGGAAGCTCTGTGCTAGTCTCAGGTAATGACACTGAAGTAGATCGAGGGGGAGGAGGGGGTGGGATCTTCTTTTTGGTTATAATAGTTGATGCTGGAGCTGGTGCAGGCACCTGGGCTGTTTGAACTGGAGCTGGGATTGCAACAGGGCTCATTGAAGAGATGGCTGCTCGGAAAGGGACTGAGTGTACCACTTTGGCTTGGAGTTGAGCTGGGGTAGTTACAAGTTCTGAGACTGGTAGTGGGGTTTGTGCAGAGATTGGAGATGTAGTTGAAACAAGGTCAGGCATCTTCTGGTCTATGACTGGCCAAGGGCATGAGGCCAGAGTGACAGAATCAAAAACAACATGGGTTGAAGCTTGAGTGGGGACTGTAACAGGTGCAGCTGTAAATACAATTGTGGGTTGAGCTGACACAACAACAGGTGCTGGACTTTGTGCTGAGACCTGTACAACAGCTGGTGCCATGATAGGCACCTGAGATGGAGATGAAACCAGTTCTGGCATCTGAACCACAACAGGCACAGGAGTATACATCCCCACAAGGTTTGGAGTTGGAGCTTCAGCGGTAGAAGCCTTACCTTGAACTACTGCAGTTGTTTGAGCTTTGGATGGATCAGACACCACATCTGGTATTGTGACTATAACTGTGGTAAGAGTGGGATGAGAAACTGATCCCCCACTAGACGGTACTGCTGCAATTGTGGCAGGAGATGGTGGTGAGATCTCTTGAGGTGATTGGGTTACAAATACAGTTGGAGGTGTTGGTGTAGACAGTGGAGTTGAATCTGATGAAAGAGGTGTTTGAGCCTGGAATGAGGATGAGGATGTAGCATTAGAAGCCAAACTGGAATCTGGAGTGGCTGGTGAAGTTGGAGGAGACATTGGTGATACAGGGGAGGGTGTAGTTGTTAGTTCTGGTGCTGAAATTGGAGTTGGAATAGGTTTTGGCTCTGGAATTTCACAGACCACACAGAAAGGCTCCATGTCAATGGTTTCAGACAAAGGTGGGCTTATGGATGGATCCTCTTTAGTCTCAGAGTCATCACTGGGGGTAATATCAGAGGAAATACCAACACCATACTCGTCTGCAAGACTGTCATCCTCTTCCTCCCCAGATGAACAGCGGGTAATTTTGAGGTCTGGTATTGGAAACAATGCCTTTCTGAGTGCAGGATCTTGAGGAACCATGGGCCTAACAAAACCAATAGATCCACTAGGAGTACTTGGAACAACATTTATCTCAGAACGCTTAGGGGGTTCAGTGGGGCGTGGTGGAGCTGGCCTTTTCTTTTTCTTCACTGGCACTTCTTTAGAAGTTTCAGTGCCTGTAAGAAGCATGTCAATTTGTTCAGTGAGGGATATCTCTTCTGTGGGTATGATAACCACACAGGTCTCAGCAATCGAAGGAGGCCCAGGGACAGAAGCCCCTGATGAGGATGAATCCATGGCAGTCTGGGCCTGTTGAAACTCTTGCTCTATCATCATCAGTTCTCTTTTTTTCTGCATCATCTCCTCATAAACCTCCTCTGGAGACCTAAGTTTTTTGAGACACTCAGAGCTTGTATCTTGTTTAACTTCCTCCTCTTGAGATTCATCCATCTTGATTTCAGGCTCCTCAACTAAGGATTCATAAAGATAGTCCTCTATTGCCATTCCTCCATAGAGTGGCTCAATATCAGGAGGACTCTCCCCAGGAATAGCTTTTGTCTTCTGAATAATTTCCACATATGCTTCTTCAGCACTCTTCAATGATTTTGTCACAGTATCCTTTTCGTTAAATGAATCAGTAGGATTGTATGGTATCCCCGTTGGTGAAGGCTTACCCCCTCTCTGTACAGCTCGGCAAGCCTCTGGTTCTGATTCTATACTGGCAGAGTACTCTGAGCCAGATGTTCTACTGGTTTCATCCATTACGGTGACCTGCTTCAGATTCTCTGTGGAGGAAGTATTTTCATTTCGAGACAGTGGTGCGCCATGGGTTCTAAGTTCCTCTTTGTCTTTTCTAGACTTCTCCCCCCCTCTCATTTCCTCTTCCTCAGATGAGTCTTCAATGGTTGGGAGAAGCTGGGTTGGCTGCCTGTGTCTTCCTTTGCGATGCTGCTTGTCCCCACTGACTTTCTTGTGTCTGGGGCTGCTGTCACTGTCCTCCTCCAGAGATGAGGCTGACGTGGGTGAAGATCCTGGGGTAAAACTAGATACCTGAACACTGGACGATCCCTTTGACAGGGATTCTGTGATACTCTCTACTTCTTCATCAGTGCTTTGTCTGTGTCTCATGACTGGAGTAGCTTTCTTGAATGTAGTGCAGGGCATTGTTTCAGAAACATCTTGAGTAGTTTCAGCATCCGTTTTTGGGAGGGCTTTTTTCCTGGCTGGGCTTTCTTCATTCTCTGTATTATCTTTTCTAAACAGTGATTTGGCTGTCACTGAAGCATTATCAAGCTCAACCTTTTTGATAGCTTCCTCATCTACTAAATCCTTTTGTCTCTCATCATCTGAAAGATTCATTTCTTCTTCATCACCCATACCCATTATCTGCTTGCGGATGAATTCTTCATCTTCCATAGAGGAATCAGCGCTTTCAGTTTTAATGTCCTCACTGCTGGATGAGACATTGCTGACCTTCAGTCTTCTCCTCTGGACTTTAGGAGATGGTGTGAGTTCACTTTCACTGCTCTCAACCGTTGCTTGGAAACTTAGGCGCCTTCTCTCAGCTCTAAATTCCTCCTTTATTAGAATTGATGGATCTGTATATTCCGGTATATCAGTTTTACTTGCATCACTAACCACCTGCCCATCGTTCAATTCTTGTGATATGGGTAAAATCTGGGTTTGATCTTCATCATGGTCCCCTGTTTCGGATTCAGGCTTTGTAGGTGTTGCAGGTACAACTTTATTTTCAAATGTACCCTGCCAAGTAGGTAGGGTGACCATTATTTCTTTCACTGGTTCTTTATTTCTTTCATCTTGCTCCTAAAAATGTAAAAAAAATCAAGATAACAGTAAATAAATTCCCTCTTTGAAAGAACCTCTTAAGATACACACTACCAAATATTTCAACTTGATTTTACTTGAAATTGAGCCTGAACATGATTAGACCCGACCCGACCCCCCAGGTTTGGGCCTGGCTGGGCTGTCATTTTTTCCCCCGGGCTCGAATCGGGTCAGGTTCACGCCAATTTCCAGGAATGTCATACCATCTTTATTTTAAGGCTGTACCGAAGTTTGCTGCTTCATTCATTATGTTGACATTCAAATCTATCTACATCATTGGTATTTAAAGTACATTTTAACTAATAATGAAAATTGATAGCCAGAATGGCAGTACCTCTCCATCGTATCACATTGTTTTCATCTATAAAATATTTATTTGTCAATACAAAAAAATATAGTTTTAACAAAGAGGACACATACTTACTTTTATTATGATGTTCTTTGTAGATACTTGTGTCTCTGGTGTTGAGGTGATGTCAATAATCTTTTCAATCAATTTATCAGCCATTTCCTTGCTGTCCGCTTTTATGACTGGTTCTACTTCCAATACCAGCTGTGGTTCTTGCAACTTTGGTTGCACCTCAGCTTGTGGTAAAGATTTAGTTGGCTCTGTCAGCTCAATATGATCATCAGTCAGTACCTCCTTAATAATCTTCTCTGGAGCAGACAATTGTTGCTTCGTTTCATTTCCTGGGACATCTGCAGCAATAGGGGAAGTAGGTACAACTGTAGCTTCAGTCCTAGGGAAAGAGGAACCTGAAGCAGCACCTGCTTCAACTTTGACTTTTGGAAGGTCAGGTTTAGACTCTTCAGCTTTGGGATATTCTGGTTTACTGAGCTCCACTTTCACTGACTCTTCTCTATTTTCCACAGTTTTGGGAGCATCTGTGTTTGGCACTTCAACCTTTGGTGTTCCTTCTGTCTGTTGCACAGTGGCCATAGTGGTTGTCATGAATTCTGCTGTGGATGCTGCCAATGGCTGTTTTTCTGCTATAACAAGTGAAACCTTTGCTGTTGTGGGTACGCGTGTGGGCTCAATCTTGATTTGTGCGGAAGCTGCTGTAGCAGAGGTTTCCATTTTGACAGATGTAGGTTCCATCTTTGGTTTTGGGGTTGGAACTGTTGGTACTGACTTGATGGATGCATGTGTGGGCTGTGATTTTGTGGCCGCAGATGTAGGCTCTGCCTTTGTAGGGGAGGTTTTGGGCTCTGCCTTTTTGGTTGCAGGTGTGGCCAGGTTCCCTGGCTTGGCAGATACAAGTGAAAGCTGGGGCATTTTTCCTGAGTCTCCCAACTGTCCAGACAAAGCCCTCTGAGTCTGGCAGTTCAGGCACAGCCAGTCCTTCTGTGATCAAACAAACAAACACAATATGTAATCAGGATTTACAATTGAAGGCTTTAGTTATAAATTCAGGTGGTGCTAAAACAGCATTTTGCAGATTTCTCATCAGATCACCATTCAAAGTATAGGTCTAGAGAGTTAATTCATAAAGGAGGACAAGAAAAGCAGGGCTTATTGTTGAATGCCTGACTTGAGTGAAACTAACTTACAGGTGCACAGGTACAGCTTTTGTAACCCTCTTCTTATAATTGACACGAAGATGATATAATACAACACAGTCTCTTATGCTGAGTAACACAACAGCACTCAAAGTAATATAAATCCAATCTTCATCCAGCTTCCGCTGCTGGACAATTCGATCAACCAAAGCATTCACTAAGAAACAGCAACAATAAAAAAAATTTTAATATATGCTTGTGGTTCCTTCACATTTTTATAAGCATATGCTATTACTTTGAAAATGTAATCCTCAAAAGACACATTTCTTATCATGTCTAAGCTCCATTAATGGACAGTTAAGGAAGAGAGAAAGGCTGTCAATAAATAAATTAGTGTGTCTGAAGCAAGCTAGCAGACCAAATCACAGCAATGTGCCTGCCTCTGCAGAGCCAGGGAGAGCAGTACTCATACACAGGACAGAGGAGATTACATTTCACACATAGAACGCATTAAATACATCTTAATAATGGATCAACAATTGCCACATGTGCATACCAATGTTCATGCACTTTATAAAAAGGAGAATTTTCAGGATGTTGATGACATGATTACAGCTGATAAATAGTCATGACTTGACTTAGTTAGGAGAAACCTAATACTTATGCATCCACTTTGATTGATACTGAGATGCTTTTGTTCAGTCTGTTGTGATTCAGTCAGGAATATGATAATCCTATTGGCACCTAACAGTAACAAACAAAGCCTCATCAGCATAGTGCATGATGCTCATAATCGTGTTAACCAATAAATCATTAAAACCTCAATTTCATGTGATCTAATGCAAGCTCAGCCTCACTGATGTTTACGTTTAAAGTTTGACCCTAATCGTTATATGGGTCCACATCAAAGCTAAATCCTGTTGAGGGTAATTTTAAGGCTAATCTAGACATCTGTTTGCACACAGCTAAATCATGTCACTATTCAGGATAAATTAGTCATCACAAACTCCAGCTCTTGCTACTTTCCTGATCATCTCATAGACCCACCACAATGGCCTTATCAGAAGCAGCTCATATGCACTGATGCTATCTTTGCTATGGAAACAAATGCAATTATATCCATGTATAAATGAAGAAGGAAAATATTGTTATCAAAAACTCATTTTCAACCACTGAAATTAATTGTACTGTGACATTTTTTTTTTTTTTTTTTACATTACACAGTTTGTTAAGAAGCAGGGTTGTCAAAACCCACATTTGCATAACTCATTAAACATTTTGGCCTATTCCCCACTTTACTTCTGCTTCCTTGTAACAGGAACATCTTGAAAGATCTATCAAGAATGATTGATAGAGAAGAATGAAACAGCACTGTTCGCAGATGGCCATGGCGGTGCATTCCTCAGCGTTTCTGCTGGTCTACTGTATTCTCCCTCTCATGCAATCTAAATGTGCTTCTGCCCCTCACACCTCTCCAGGTGCTGGTATTGCACAGGCCTATATCTTAGCATGATAATGGAAAAAAACAGATAAACAGATGGACAGAGCAATCACAGAAGAATCCAATATTAAACACCAAATATTTGCCAAAACGAATCAGCAAAGATAAACATGCACACACCACACCTGTACCAACCTTGCATCTGATAACTAATTTAACCTTAACCTGATTATAAATCAAACTGCAATAAAAAAAAAAAAAGATAAGTAAAAAATCTCTATCAACAAAAAATACATAATCCCATCACATTCCCCTCCAGTGCCAGTCACGGCCTCACAGCCACACAGTCTCAGAGCCATGCATCAGAGCCACAGGGTTTGGAAAGTCGCCATCATCCTTTTGTCTAATTAAATCTGTTTTATGAGTAAAGAGCAGGAGCCCCAAGCAGAGAGCTGTGGGAGAGGCTGCTCCCTACGATTAGCCTGAGCTGGATTACCAAACCTTCACAATGACAGCAGTCAGGAAATTATGCTCTTGACACACAGGCGTGCTGCATTAGGCTGGATCTGCTGAGCTTTATAAAGAAATGCTCACTTAACATTATTTACATTCTGCATTAATGCAAGACCTTGGGGAAGTAACCCATTCACTTTGGGCACAGATTACCATCATAATTTGACTTTTTAAGATACTTTAATATTTTGTACTTTCATTCAAATTACATAAATGTGTTTATTATTTTTCAAATCCTACATACACATTTGGGACATCCATGCATTGTGGATATCTGACAAGGGGAATAAATCTAGTTCACTATCAGCATTGGGTATAGTAAGTGTGTGTGGTTCAACAAATATATTGTAAATCATATTTAAATGCCCGAACATGTATCAAAATGCTCTTAACAGGAAAGCCTGTCACTCTTTGCCCCACTGATGAATCAATCCCGTAATTTGAGTTTGCATTATTTGTGCAAACCCACACCTTCTTATGATACACCAGTCACTGGGTATCAATGTTCCTGAAATTTATATTTTGTAATGACTAGACGGAAGGGATGGTCTTTGAACTGTGGACTACACCACAATTTCTCAGCCTCTCTTCAGTGGTGTTGATTCTAGAGCTGGTAAGTTCCTTATTGATTTTCTGGCCGATGCCTTTGGCAAAAGCTGGCTAATATACTTGGCTTTCAGTGGCCCCTACAGAGCAGAACTCCTCATAAATCAAGCCCTCTGATAATAGAGAACGTTGACCTACTAATCTGTAATAAGCAGAGTGCTTTATTCTAAAGACAAAGAAATACACCCTCTGCTTTTTCCACTCTGACAAATGATGCTTCAGCAATCTTCCTGTTCATGGCAGGATGCAATGGGTAAAGATTGAGGTAGATGAGGGAGTGAGAGGGTGTGGCCGAGATAGAAAGCAAAGACACTAGTAGGTACATTAACAAAGTTGAACCTCTTAGATGAGGTCCTATTCCTACCCTCTGACAGAAAGCCATAGCATGTATTAAAATAGCAACGTCCTTTTCTCATATTCAGGAAAATCATTGCAGCTTGAGTGATAAGTGTCACACTTTAATAATGTCATGAAACAACAAACATGCTCTGTTCTTTCAAAAGCAAATAATACAATAATGGAAAACAACTGAGAGCAGTGGCAATAAATTACTACAACTATATGTTCACACTGATGAAACCCTATTTAAAAAATGAACTAATGCAGCATAATGCAAAATTTTAGCAATGCTAGCCTCATTGCACTTTCCAAAAGGCTGTGAAAAAAGAGAAGGGATGCAGCAGGTGGGCAGTGTTTGGTCTCTCCACAGAGTGGATATTTTTTACAGTCACTGGGTGCACCGGTCTGTCGTCAGTCTCTCATGGAAGCTTTGCAGAACATTTGTCAGTGGATTGCTCAAATGGATCTTATAATAACCCCTTACTTTAAGACAACATATAAGGTACACATTGCTTTGTAGTGGAAAATCAAAATACATTTTAGGCGAAAGATACAGGCACATGGTAATGTTTTAGAAAATGACAGAAAATATCATTCATGCTGCCTTGTCACACACAAAGCTTTAGCTGGCAAAGCACGACACACGTGTGTCCTACATATAAGCCAACAGTCACTCACAGGCTTTTGATGGCATCAGCTGAAGCAGAAAAGGAAAATGGAAAAATGGATAGACTTGCTGCAAGCACTCACTTTGCCTAAAGTGGCCTTCTCATGTTTTGAACCTTACAGGTCCTTCATATATTTTAAAATGAGACATTTTTGCCCTTCAACTAAAAAGCCACACACATTCATAATAGTAGGCAGGCACAGCCCCTTTGGATAAAGCAGGTCGTAGGACAGCAATAAGCATGGCAGCTCATACTGTCCAATGGTGTTAAGGCCAAGCATTTTTTTTTTTCCGTGGCTATTATAGTAAGAGTATAGTGTCCCTTCCCCTTTCCCCCTTAAACATCTTCCCTTAGGCTCTTCCCCCTCTCTAGCGTTCACAAAAAATGTGACAATTACATGAGAACCACATCTCTTCTGTTTCTATTTGTATTCTATTTCTCCACAGTAATGTGCCATTTGGGCTGAGTGTGTGGTAATCTGTCCCTGGAAAACCCAACTAAAAGCAGTAATAAAGAAAAAAATAATGCCTACAGCCACTCAATCCACAGAGATGAGTTTTGTTGTTTACTGAGAGTAAATAATTCAAAAACATTGTCCCCAATTTCAACTGTTAACTCTTAACTGTCAGACAGAAATACTTTGTCTTTCATAGAAAGTAGAAATAACCTCTTGCCCTAAATTTAATAAAAGGTAAAAAAAGAATATCTTTTTATATATTTTTCTGATTTAATGTAACCAACTTTGTCACTTGTTAATAGGATCTCACATTATGAATGTATTAGCATCAACATTAACCTTATTCGAAAGCCTCCAGTAAAATGACTAACATGACTGTCATGGCACATTATTGAACTGTACTGTTTCATAAATACTTGCCATGCAGTGTTATATCATTTGAGAACTGACCATTGAAATAACTTTAATGTTTTCACCAAAACACTCACAAGATGGATCTGACAAAACCCATCTAACTAATTATTCAAGGCATTAACTGCTAATACTGTTTGCAAGGAAAACAGACCAACCCCACAGGGGAATGTGAGCTGTTCAGAGAAGAAAAAATTACTGAACTACAACAACATATAAGATATGAAAAAGCTCCACAGGGTACACAAGCATGCATCTTGTGCTTCTGCGACCCACATAAAACAAAGAGGAAACTAGAATTATATGGCGCCACAGGTCTGTGAGTGAGCAGATGGCCTAAAAGGAAATGTCTACAGCTCTAATGTACTGCACAGTGTTGTGTTGGACTTAATCTGTTTCACCTCTGCTTATTGGCATATCACAGGGCTTTACCATCTCAGATCTCTCACAGAGACTGGAGGTTCCCTGGCAGCTGTGGCAGCAGCTCCCATCTCACTAATGCTGTTGCACAACCCTCAATCACTTTTATACATTTGCAGTGCTGCCGGTCTGCTGAAGCTGCCTTCTCATGAGCTGTTGTGTAATAACTCGGGCCACTCTAGTGGACTGAAAGCAACCACTATATAGCCTGCATTTTGGTATGTTTTTAATTTAGTCTAACTCTTTGTTCATTAATTAAAATAGATTACATTAATTAACTGCACACAGACTTCTTCAGTCCTAGTCTGAAAACCAATTCAATCACGCTCTCCCTGCGTATATTTTCTCGGCTGTGGCATCTTCATCCGTTATTCCACCACACTTGGAATACATGCTTTTGAAGAAATCAAATTAAATCAACAATGGTGTCAAATGCGGTCTATTGTGTACCACACTTTCAATAGAGGTGAGGCTGTATGATGAACAATCTCCCAATTATCCACTGTTTACACTCTTATTCCACAAAGTAAAAAGAAAAAAGTACTAAAAATCAATGGTATTGCTTGCATACTCCAACCGAAAAGAATGTGTCCTTGACTGCGAAAGAATGAACACTAAAACAGCAGGGAAAACTTACCAAACCTAAAAAGATGTATGTGAAAATGACATGTGGAATGAAATATATTGCACTTACCGCTCCTGTATGGGGCATGGGGTTAAATCCACAAAGGTTGCAGACAGTGTTCTTGCATTCGGTGCAGGTTTTGTAATTGGGAGGATCTGTGGAGCCCATGTTGAGGTCGACCTTACAGAGTGGACAGGTGGACAGAGCTGCTTTAGGAGCAACTTGGGTCACTTCTGTAGATTTTGGAGGCTGTGGTGGAGCTTTCTCTACTTTGGCCTCTGCTGATGGTGCAGGCTTGGTCTGTTGAGGTGGCTCTGATTTCCCTGCAGCAGGTGGTTTGGAGTCATTTGCAGCTGGAATCTTAGAAACTGGAGGTGTAGCTTTAGGAGAGACACTGGATGTAGTAGACATCTTACGTGGAGTAGGTGGTGTAGCTTTAGGAGAGACACTGGATGTAGTGGACATCTTACGTGGAGTAGGTGGTGTAGCTTTAGGAGACACGATGGATGTAGTGGACATCTTACGTGGAGTAGGTGGTGTAGTTTTAGGTTCGACCTGAACAGCTGAGGTTATCAATGTAGATGCAGAACTGAAGATAGAGGAACCAAAACCAAACATCTTCCCACTCACTGACTCAGCAGGCTTAGCAGCAGCAGGTTGTGTTTTAGGGCCACCAAATCCAAAAAAGCCTCCTGACTCCTGTTTAGCAGGCTGAACTGGTGGAGGTCCAGATTTGTCAGAAAGGGTTGCAGATTTTATGGGCTGTTGTGGTGTTTTTCCAACTTCTTGTTTTGCAAGAACAGTCTTAACTTCTGGCTTTAGAGTTTGTGAAAGCTGTACTTGTGGGAATTTTTCAACAGGTTGTTGCTGGCCAGCCACATCCTGGCCTTGGCCTTGCCCTTGTTCAGTACCCGAAAGGACCTGCGTCTTTTGCACAGAAACTCGTTGTGGTGTCTCCGTCTGTTGGACTGCAATCGGCACTGGAGCCTCAGGTTTGGGGGTTTCTTTTTTCTGTGGAGTTGCTTGAGTGACCTCTTTTTTGACTGCTGTATATTCTGTAGACTTCTCCTGCTGGACTAATGTCAGTATATCCTTCAGTTCAGAACCAGGAACCTTGCATAGGGGGGTCTGTGGTTTCAATACAGGATGTCCAGTTGGCTCAGATGCTCCTAGGGCTCTCTGCATCTGACAGTTCAGACAAAGCCATTCTTTCACCTGAAAAAAGTTAAATATAATGTTGACAAACCAAGGGGCAAATGTTTTACGGGACAAATTTGAAGTAATTTCATAACTAAAAGAGTACAGAGGATATTCAACCACTTTAAGCACCTTCATGTCACATATTTATTCACAGATCTTTAATTCATACCAACTAAAATCATGTCTATTATAAAGATGAAATCGGTTGATTCCTAATTCATGTAGCAATTATGATACTGATAGGATAGACAGAATAAACCTGTTGTACAGTACAAACCATGAGGTTAACCAAACAATGTATGTGAAAGAATTCTTTTTTCAGTGGCAAAGACTTGTAAGAACAGTGACTTACCTCTGCCACAATTGCCATTGTATTAAATCCACATTGATTGCAAACAGTAGTCTTGCATGCTGTGCAAGTGTTGTAGTTGGGAGGATCTTTGGAGCCCATGTTGAGGTTGACCTTACAAAGTGGACAGATGGTTGGAACTGCTTTTGGAGCACCTTGGATGTCTGTTTGTGTCTTGGGGGGCTCTGGTAAAGCTTTGTCCACTTTGGGTTGTACTGTTGAAGGAGTCTTTTCCTGCTGTGGTTTCTCTGGTTTCTTCTCCTCAGTTTTTGGGACAGCAGTTGGCTTGGTGTCCTTTGCAGGTGACATATTAGGGGAGGCTGCCAGTGTAGTTCTAGGTGAGTCATGGGCTGTAGTAGACATCTTACGTGGAGTTGGTGGTGTAGTCTTAGGTTCATCCTGGACTGCTGAGGTTATCAAAGTGGATGCAGAGCTTAAGAAAGATGATCCAAAGCCAAACATCTTTCCCGTCACTGACTCAGCAGACTTTGCTGGTGTTTTAGGACCACCAAAACTAAATAAGCCACCCGATGCCTGTTTTGCAGGCTGAGCTGATGGTGTGGAAGATTTGGCTGGAGAAGTACCAATTTTAGCAGGCTGTTGTGGAGGTGGCTTCCCCACTTCTCGATCCGGTGTAGGAGCAGACTTTGCAATAGAAGTCACAGCTTTTAGAGGCTGTTGTGGAGGTACCTTTTTTGGGTCTGAATCTGGTGGAAGATCCGAAGTCATAGCTTTTGGAGGCTGTTGTGGATGCAGCTTTTCTGCCTCTGGATCTGGAGGAGGAGCAGACTTAGCGATAGAAGTCACTGCTTTTGGAGGCTGTTTTGGGGGTGGCTCTCCCGCTTGTTGATCTGCTGAAGGAGCAGACTTAGCGATAGAAGTCACAGCTTTTGGAGGCTGTTGTGGATGCAGCTTTTCTGCCTCTGGATCTGGAGGAGGAGCAGACTTAGCGATAGAGGTCAAAGCTTTTGGAGGCTGTTGTGGGGGTGCCTCTCCAGCTTGTTGCTCTGGTGGAGGAGCAGACATAGCAATATAGGTCACAGCTTTTGGAGGCTGTTGTGGGGACGGCTTTTCTGCCTCTTGATCTGGTGGAGGAGCAGATGTTACAGCTTTGGGAGGCTTTTGCTGGGGTGTACTAGGTTGTCCTTTGTGTGTGTCTTCAGAAGGCTTTTGTAAAGCTGGTGAAACATCAGTATGTGTGATAGTGGATGGAACAGTTTTGTCAGGCAATGAAGCAGCTGCAGGGGTAACTTTCTTTGTTGGTGTACCAAGGGCTGGGGATTCAGTTTCCTTGGTTGTGGCAATAATAACAAGCTCATTTTTGGGTGTGGCTGGTTTATGGATGTCCTCCTGAGAAGTTGACATCGGGGTCTCTTTCTTCTGTGTGGCGGGAGGAACCTCTTTGCTTGGTAAAGTTTGGGGTTTTATCATGGGAAGGCCGAGAGGTTCAGAAGCTCCAAGTGCTCTCTGCATCTGGCAGTTGAGACAAAGCCATTCCTTCGCCTGAAAAACAAACACAGAACATGAGTAACATTCTTTGCATTTGTTATTGACAAACACTCAAAACATTGTTGTATTGATCCAAATGAATACTTTGTACTGGAAGTGAAAACAGAGAAACGAGGAACAAATTTCAATTTACATTAACTTAATTAAAAGGGCATGGGAACATGTCAATTTGCAACTAACAGTTTTACAATACTTTTGTATTTCAAAATGTCAACCCAAAATTAAACCTGTGACTTGTACCATTGCCAATGTGTAAAGATAAAGCAGAACAACTGTCTGCTGACAAAAAATGCAGAATGCTACAGCCATTTATTTACCTTTGCTACATTTGTCATAGGACTAAATCCACATTTGTTGCAGACAGTGGTTTTGCATTCACAGCAGGTGTTGTAGTTGGTAAAATCTTTGGAGCCCATATTAAGTTCTGCCTTACAGAGTGGACAAGTAGTCTGGCCCACTTTGGGAGCAGCTTGGGAGGTTTCTGGTTTTGGAGGGTCTGATGGATCTTTGTCAACTTTGGCCTGTACTGATGGGGGAGCCTTGGCCTGCTGAGGTTGGTCTGGTATCTTATCTGGATGTGGTTTCTGAGCAGCCGGCAGTTTGGTCTCCTTTGCTGAAGTCATCCTCGGAGAAACTGGGGGGCTGGACTTTGGAGAAATCTGTGATGTTGCCATCTTGCCAGAGACTTGTGCTGGGGCAGACATTTTGCGGGAACTTGGTGGTGTTGTGCGGGACTCCTCCTTAACTGCAGTTGTTATCAAGGTAGATGCTGAGCTGAAGAGGGATGAACCAAATCCCAACATCTTCCCAGTCATAGCTTCAGTTGTTTTTGAGGCAGTACGCTGAGATTTAGGACTACCAAAGCTGAAGAAACCTCCTGATTCTTGATTTGTTGGCTTTGCTGCTGGTGGAGCAGATTTGGCAAGGGATGTTTCAACAGAGTTTGATTCTTTATTTAGGGCTTTTGGGGGCTGTACTTCATCAGAGGATGTGACTGGTTTATCAGCTGATTTCTGAACTATTTCAGCTTTCTCCTCTTTCTTTTCTGATAGTTTGTTAGGTGCAGGGGAACTTGGTGGAGTGAAATCCTTTTTCTTCTGGAGAGAAGTTACAATATCTGTGTTGACAGGAGGAGCTTGAGCAGGCAATGTTTTATTGAGTTCTGAAACTACAGCTGTCGTCTCTTTGATGGGAGGTGCAAAAGAGTTTGTAATCTCCTTGGTAGATGGTGAAGCTGATTTCTCCACTTTTGTGGGGGCTGAAACAGTACCTGGGGTCTCTTTTGTAGGTGTTGTGGCAATGGTTGATGTTTGGGTGATGTCCATTTTAATTAAAGGTGTAGTTTCTTCTTTATTTTGTGGTGCACCTGTTGTTGGACGGTACTTTGGATTATTTTCTGGCACTTCTACCTTTTCTGTGAAAATAATGTCTTTCTTTTGATTGGTAGTGGCCTCTTTTTGGGCAGCGGCAGGTGTGGACACTTTGTTTGGTGATGCCTGAGGTTTCATCAATGGAGGCTCTACTGATTCGGCTGCTTTGAGAGCTCTTTGCATCTGACAAGTCAGACACAACCACTCCTTCATCTAAGGGGAAAACCATATTATTTTGAGTAAGTGTGTCTATTAAACATAAAAAATGTTTTGTACAATAACATCATAGTATAGCACATTGACATCTATGTATGCATTTATACATTTTATCTTAGGTACACCACATAATATATTTATTTATAGATTATATATTTTGAATGCAAAATTAAACCCATATAAAATGTAGATATTATACGAAATAAACATAATTAATATACACATTTTGAGCAAATCTTACTTACTTCTGACACATTTGGCATGGGGTTAAATCCACACTGGTTACAGACAGTGTTCTTGCATTCAGTGCAGGTATTGTAGTTAGGTGGATCCTTGGACCCCATGTTGAGTTCGACCTTACAGAGTGGACAGGTAGAATGGCCTGGTTTGCCAGTGGCTGTGGAGGCCGCTGCAGCCTTTGGAGGCTCTGATGAAGCTTTGTCCACTTTGGTCTGTGCCGATGGAGGTGTCTTGGTCTGCTGGGGTTGTTCTGTCTTTGTCTGTTGTTCCTTCCTCTGGGCATCAGGGGATTTGATCCCTTTTGCTGGGGACATTTTGGGAGAAACTGGTGGAGTGGTCTTTGGCTGGTCCTGAACAGCTGAAGTTATCAAAGTGGATGCAGAACTGAAGATGGAAGAACCAAAGCCTAACATTTTCCCAGTCGCTGACTCCACTGGCTTTGCACCATCAGGTTGAGTTTTACCACCACCAAAACCAAAGAAGCCTCCTGTATCTTGCTTTGATGCCGATGTGGCATTACTCTGCTTACATTCAGTTTGCCTTCTCTGGTCTGGTGACTTATTAGGACTTGGTGTTTTCTGAGGCTCCTGTGGCCTCTTCTGAGAATGAACTGGACTGGGCTGTTTCTGACCCTCTGGCTTATCAGCAGCTTTGGTTGTAGCTGGCTGTGCTGCAACAGAAAGTTTCCTCTGAGGTGAGTCTTTGTTTTCAGGTTCAGCTGGGCTAATGATTTCTTTCTTTTGGGGTTTTGCAGGTATCTGGGAGTTGACAGAAGTAACTCCTTGGGGCTGTGTTGTGTCTAGAGCACGCTGCATCTGGCAGGTCAGACACAGCCATTTCTTTACCTAAAAAAAACACAGAAAAAAGGTTTCATTATAAACTGTTAGGTAATCTGTGTGTGATTATGTTTTATATTCATGTGCTGTTATATTTCAGCACCTGTAAATCTAGTTACGAGTAAATGGGAATTCCAATTTTTAATATTCCCAGGAAATAATGAGCAAAGGCATGTATGATTCAAACACAATGAAGATCCAGCAAGGGACACTTTCAAATATTTTAAGTCTGTCAGCAGTCAAATCTCAAATGAAGTTGTAATGATTAGTTTTCTCTAGTCTTACCGCTGTTTCATTTGGCATAGGGTTAAATCCACACTGGTTACAGACAATGTTCTTGCATTCAGTGCAGGTATTGTAGTTGGGTGGATCTTCGGAAACCACGTTGAGTTCCACCTTACAGAGTGGACAGGTAGATTTGCCTGGTTTGACAGCTACTTGGGACACTGCTGCGGCCTTTGGAGGCTCTGATGGGGCTTTGCTCAATTTAGCCTGTCCTGATGGAGGTGTCATGGTCTGCTGGGATGACCCTGTTTTCTCCTGCTGATCAGGCTTATGGGCACTGGGGGCCTTGATCTCTTTTGCAGGAGACATCTTGGGAGACACTGGAGGAGTAGTTTTGGGTTGGTCATGAACGGCTGAGGTCATCAAAGTAGATGCGGAACTGAAGATTGAAGAGCCAAAGCCAAACATTTTCCCAGTCGCTGACTCTGCCTGCTTTCCAGGTTCCGATTGAGTTTTACTACCACCGAAACCAAAAAAGCCTCCTGCCTGTTGCTGTGTTGCTGCTGAGGCATCACTCTGCTTAGGTTCAGTCTGCCTATTTGTTACTGACTCTGCAGGCATTGCAGAATCAGGTTGCTTGCTTCCAGGTTGGCTTGCCTGATCTGGTGGCTTCTTCTGACCTGCCTTCTGTATTTCCTGTGGTCTTTCATGATCAGGCGCTGGGCTGGCCTGTTTCAATGGTACAGAAGTAGCTTCAGGTTTCACTGACTGCACAGATGGTGATTGTTTTCCCTGTGGTGAGACTGGTTCTGAAGTCTCCTTCTTTAGTACAGCAGGGCCTGGACCATCCTTCTTTTGCAGTGTGGTTGGTTTGGGAGAATCTTTCCACTGGACTGCAGCAGGTGAAGTAACTTTACTAGTAGATGTGGCAGACTTCAATGTGAGAGGCCCTGGTGGCTCAGATGCTCCAACTGCTCTTTTCATCTGACAGTTAAGACATAGCCACTCATTTGCCTAAAATACAGTAGACACCAGTTATGTGTTGCTTTTGGAATTGAGCATTGCAATAATTGACAACAACCTGAGTATTTAGAGAAACAGACTCCTCAAAACTGCACTACTGGTCAATGAGGTAATTGTAAAAAAGACCACAGATCACAGATTATAGTATAAATGCATACAGTATGTTCAGAACTAATGTATTGTTTATTCACTTACCTTGCCTATAGGCATTGGGTTAAATCCGCATTGGGTACAGACAGTGGTCTTGCACTCAGTGCAGGTGTTGTAGTTTGGAAGGTCCTTGGAGCTGATGTTAATCTCAACCTTACACAGTGGACAGGTGGCCTGGCTTGTATTGGGAGATGTTTTAGAGGTTGTTGCTGCCTTTGGTGGCTGTAATGGAGCTTTGTCATGTTTGTTCAGGTGGAATTCTTCTGGTTTCTTATCCAGGGTTTTGGGCTCTCTTGCTGGTGACATTTTGGGGGAAAATGCCGGTGTAGTTTTTGAAGAAATATTGGGTACAGCAGACATCTTGGGCGAGACTTGTGCTGGTGCAGACATCTTACGAGAGCTTGGTGGTGTAGTACGTGATTCTTCCTGAACAGCGGATGATATCAAAGTTGATGCTGAGCTGAAAATGGAAGAACCAAAGCCAAACATCTTCCCAGTCACTGACTCTGTTGTTTTTGAGGCATCAGGCTCTTTTTTAGGACCACTCAAGCCAAATAGGTTTCCTGACTCATGCTTTGTATCCGGGTTGACCTTACTCTGTTTTAGTTCACTTGCCTGGTCAGTTGGTTTCTGAGAAGCTGATGCCCCCCGGATATCTAGAGTAGTTTTCTGGCCAGGAGTAGGGCTAGCCTGTGTGTCACGTTCTGGTACTTTAGCAGCCTTTGCTGCCTGTGTCTTCTGAGGAGAACCTGGTGTCGGACTTCCCTTCTTTTGAAGTACATCAGGCACTGGAGTCTCTATCTTTGAAGGTGCATCCAAATTTGATGACTCCTTCTTTAGAGTTTCCACTTGATTGGGAGCTGTTATCTTCTGATGCATGGCCGATGGAGGAATTTTGTTAGCTGTATTGTGAGGTGTCAAAAGAGGTCCTGTGAGTTCAGATGCACTAAGAGCTCTCTGCATCTGACAGTTCAGGCATAACCATTCTTTTACCTACAGAAAGAAAGAATATTTAAATGACATGAAAATATGAAACATTTACAACACCAGCATGCAATAATTTCACTATGTCAAGATATGTACTTCATAGATCATGGTGTATTCCTGTTAAATTATGGGTTGCCGTATGTTACTTTTACCCTTCATAATTTTGTATTTTATTGTATATTAAAATTAAATTCAGGATTTGTGTCATCTTTGCTGTTATTACCTCTGATACATTTGGCATTGAATTAAATCCACATTGGTTGCAGACGTTGTTCTTGCATTCAGTGCACTTGTTGTAGTTAGGAGGATCCTTAGAGCCAAAGTTGAGTTCCACCTTACAGAGTGGACAGGTAGGTTGGCCTGCCTTGCGAACAACTGGGGAAACAGCTGCATTCGTTGGAGGCCCTGATGGAGCTTTTTCTACTTTGGCTTGATGGGATGGAGAGGTCATGGGCTCTAGTTTCTTCTCCTCTTCTTGTTTCTCAGCAAGCTGAGATTTGGTTGCCTTTGTAGCAGGCATCCTGGGAGACAATGGTGGGGTTGTTTTGGAATCATCTTGGACAGCTGTGTTTATTAAAGTGGATGCAGAACTGAAGATGGAGGAACCAAAGCCAAACATTTTTCCACCCAGTGATTCAGCAGGCTTTGCGGCATCAGGTTGAGGTTTAGGACCGCCAAATCCAAACAACCCTCCGGATTCCTCATGTGTAGTTGAGGTAGTATTATTCTGCTTACGTCCAGTTTCATTTGTCGGGTCCTGTGGTTTCTGAGGACCTGTCTTACGGCCTTGCATTGGAGTTTTCTGACCAGGAGCTGGGTTGACCTGTTTCTGACTTTCTGATCCTTTAATGACTTCAGACTTTGCTGGCTGCTCTGCTGGTGTTGGTGGTTTCCTCTGAGGAGAGCCTGGTGCAGAGGTCTTCTGTAATTCAGCAGCTGTTTGACTGTCTTTCTTTTGAGATGTATCTAGTGGGGGAGTTTCCTTATTTATGGTATTGGTAGGTGCAGGGACTTTATTTGGTGAGGCCGGTACTTTCATCATGGGAGTTCCTGGAGGCTGAGATGCTCCTAGTGCTCTCCGCATCTGGCAGTTGAGACACAACCACTCCTTTACCTATATTTGAGCAAACAGTAAAATTTAGATCAGTGTTGTTGTACAATTCACATTTTTGTACTTCTAATTTAATTCTATCAATATATTAATTACAGTAATAAAAAAAAAAAAACATAATGCAACTATCACTGTTCTAGTAACTTTTCTGTAATCTACAGTACTCTTATCTTACCTCTTTAACATTTGTCATGGGATTAAAACCACATTGGTTACAGACAGTGTGTTTGCACTCGGTACAGGTGTTGTAGTTGGGAGGATCTTTAGAGCCCAGGTTAAGTTCCACTTTACATAGAGGACAGGTAGACTGGCCTGCTTTGGAAACTTGGGAAGCTGATGCTTTCTTTGGCGGCTCTGATGGAAGTTTGTCCGCGTTCAGCTGTACTGATGGAGAGGTCTTGGCCTGCTGCGGTTGTTCTGGTTTCTTCTCCTGTTCTGATTTATTGGCAGTGGAGCATTTAGAGTCCTTTGCAGCAGGCATTTTGGGAGAAGGTGGTGGTGTAGTTTTGGGCTCATCTTGAACAGCTGAGGTTATCAAAGTAGATGCGGAACTGAAGATAGAGGAACCAAAACCAAACATTTTCCCAGTCACTGCAGGCTTTACAGCATCGGGCTGACTTTTAGGACCACCAAAACCAAAGAACTTCCCCGACTCTTGCTGTGTAGCTGCTGTGGCATGCCCATGCTTTTGTGCAGTTTGGCTTGTCTGGTCCGGTTGTTTCTGAGCTTTCGTCCGGCTCTCCTGAGGTGTCCTCTGACCAGGAGCAGGGCTAGCCTGTTTATAACTGTCTGGTCCTTTAGCAGTATCAGTCTTGACTGCTTGTGCTGTAGGTGTAGATATTTTCCTCTGAGGGGAGCCTGGTGCAGATGTCTTTTGTAGTGCAGGCTGTGCTGGAGTAGTTATTTTGAATGAGGAATTGACCAAAGATGTGTCTTTCTGAGGTTCAATTCCGCTGGCAGCTCGTTTCACCTGGCAGTTTAGACAAAGCCACTCCTTTCCCTTAAAAAAACACAAGAAACAAACAAATTACACATGTACATGTTTAAAAAATAAACAAAAAAAAAATAATAGAGAATCTAGGAGTTTAATCTAAACAGAAAATCACACTGTCACACACACAAATAACCATGGAATACAGTGAGCAGACTCTGGTTACATCTATTATTTGCCGCAGTACTGAGAAAATTGCATTTAAGATGTTTGTATTTAATTAAATGTGTTTAAGTAAATCAACTAATTCCATTAGGACGAAAATGCTAATGAAAGCTCATAAAAAAGTAAACCAAGTGACAGTGCTGCCAAAGTTTCAGTGGTTTAGAGTATATTTATATAAAACATTCACTTTCACAGAGTGCTTCCAAAATGCAAAAGAGGATCTCCCCATCCTGATCTTGGGTTATCACTGTTTTAGCCATTAGTTGAGGAAGCAGTATCATAAGATCAAATAGCCTTGGACTGTCCTTAGCAAGGTAGCTTACTAACTGTGCATTGAATTACAGAGTCAAATGTCAAGTAATTTGAGTGTCACTATGCCATGTCCATTTACCTTGGATGTGGTATTCCCTGTAAGACAATTACCATGAGATTAACAGCTTAAATGATAAACTGGTTTCCAAGAGCGTTGAATCAATTATTTTAAAATGATATATGAGACCATGCAATATTGGTAATATTATTACCCCAAAAGCTGTTATTTATAGCATTATTATTTTTACTTCGATGAGAGTTAAGACTAAAGGGAACAACAGTGAAACTAGAGGTATGTGGAGTAGCATTTGTACGTGTGTCTAGCCCTCATCTGCCAGATCTGGCCTAGGTTCTGACACATAGCCAGCCATCTTGCTGTTTCGAGACTAGAGGCAGTGTGAGTAGGATATGGAATGAAAATGGCTTCACAGCTTTGCAACTTTAGTCCAAGGATTTGACGTTCCCTCCCAAAAAACCAAAGACAGATACCACTCCAATAAATATGTTATTTTATGAGAAAAACACATTCTGTATAATATCTCAAACATGCCTCTGTCATAAGTCTGGAGCCTAAAAAATATTGCTGCCATGTCATCTGTTCATGTATTTGAGTTATACCATTTGGGAATAACACCCCAAATAATGAAATGAAAATTGCTTAAGCAACCACTCTGAACATCAAGAGGGAACTTAACAGCTTCAAATAGCTTAATTTACAAGTAGCATGTTTGTGCTACAGTTCTGTATCCAAGTAATGAACACTTTGGAGGCAATCATGTAACTGAACCAGCCTCCAGGTTCTTTAGAAGCAATCTAATCACTCTGGAAACATTAGCAATTTGTTTCCAAAATTATAAAATGATATAGTGATGAATGTAACTTTAACATTTTTTTTAAATACTTCCTTTCCTTCCTCTTTTTCTACAATGATTCATTAATTTAGATGTTAGTTAATTTAATCAATATCACATGTGTCCTACCTCATTGACATTTGGCATGGGGTTAAATCCACATTGGTTGCAGACGGTGCTTTTGCATTCAGTGCAGGTGTTGTAGTTGGGAGGATCCTTCGAGCCCATATTGAGCACCATCTTACAGAGTGGACAAGTGGAGTGACCTCCTTTAGGAACACTGTGGGTGGCTGCTGCTGCCTTTGGACTCTCTGATGGAGCTTTGTCCACTTTGACCTGTCTTGCTGGATTAGCCTTTGCCTGCTGGGGTTGCTCTTGTGTCTTGTCTTTCACTGACTTTTGGACAGTAGCTGGTTTGGTCTCTTTTGTAGACTGCATTTTGGGAGATACTGGCGGTGTGGTTTTAGGCTCATCCTGAACAGCTGAGGCTATCAAAGTAGATGCAGAACTGAAAATGGAGGAACCAAAACCGAACATCTTTCCAGTCACTGACTCTTCAGGTTTTGCAGGTTCAGTTTTAACACCACCCAAGCCAAATAATCCTCCTGACTCTTGCTGGGCACTGCTTTGCTTGCGTCCATTTTGACTAGTCTGATCTGGTTTGTGAGACCCTGATGTACGCTGGGTCTCAGGTGTCATTTTCTGAACAGATGCTGGGCTGGCCTGTTTTTGACTTTCTGGACCTTTAGCAGCATCATCCTTGGCTGGCACTTTTGCCGATGTAGACTGCATTGTCTGAGGTAAACCTGGTGCTGACATCTCTTTTTTGACAGGTGCAGCAGGAGATGGTGGCTGGTTTTGAGCAGCAGAAACTTTGTTGGGCATGGGCTTTCTAATGGAAGGTCCCTGTTGTTCAGAAGCTCCTTGAGCTCTCTGTATCTGGCACGGAAGACAAAGCCACTCACGTCCCTGTTAAAAAAATGAGAATGATGACATATTAATGCATGGAAAGTATAAGAAACAAAACCCTGCAGTTCACAAAAATAATTACAAATAAATGTTATAACTTATCACATTGAATAATTTCAACACACATTTAGTCATGCAAACGTAATTAATGTGTTGTTAAATTCCTCTTAATTCAATTAATTAAAATTAGTATGATAATATAGTAATATAATATATAGATGCAGTTTGCAATTGTAAATCAATGTCATATATGCAGTAAAGCTTCTTGTTAAATTAACTTCCAGGAATGAACACTGCGCTACTATCACTGCAGTGAATGCAATGCATTCACATTTAGTTTGAACAAAGCATAGTCATAAGAAATCTAAAAAAAAATGATACATAAGAAAAATGATTACTTACATCCGAATCTGGAGGGCTGAAGCCACAGAAGCTGCACACTTCAGTTTTACACTGTGAACAGGTTTTATGGTTAGGCGATTGCTTGGTGGCCATATTTAGTTCTGTTGTGTTACACACTGGGCAAAGGGACTTAGCTATTGCTTTTGACTGAGGTCCAGCTTTGGTTGGTCCCGGTGCTGAAGACCCTGCTCGGCACAGGCCAGGTGTACCAGGTCCCTTAGGGCCTTGTTGTTGTGACCCAGGCTTGTCGGAGGACTGCTGCTGGGTTGTAGCCTTAGAGCCTTGCTGTTGCTGTCCCACTTTAGTTGAGCCCTGCTGTGCAAATTTAGGTAAACCCTGTTGCTGCTGTGAAAGTTTAGGTGAGCCCTGTTTTTGTTGTTCAATCCTTGGTGACCCCCGCTGTTGAGTTCCTACTTCCGGTGACGCTTGCTGTGAGCCAGTTTTTTGTGAGGCAACTTTTGTGGACTCTTGCACCCCAGTCTTTGCAGGTTGTTGTTGTTGTGCACCAGTCTTAGCAGGCCCTTGTTGTTGCATCCCTGTCTTAGGTGGAACCTGTTGGGATGATGCTTTTGGAGAACCTGATTGAGCTCCACTCTTCCCAAACTGTGGTTGAGCTCCAGGCTTAGGCGAACCTTGCTGTGGTGGGCCCTTAGGTTGACTTTTTTGAGGCTCTCCTTTAAGCTGGCCTTCAGCCTGTGTCCCTGCCTTTGGAGCAGCTTGTTGCCCACCAGGCTTGTTTGGGGATCCAGCCTGTCCATTCCCATGCAGCTGTGGTGATCCTTCTTTAGGGAGTGGCTGGCCCTTTTGCATAGGGATGCCCTGGATGGATTTTTGTGGTCCCTGCTGTTGTTGAGGGCCTTTGCCTGAGCCTGCTCCTGACTGCTGTTCTCCAGTTGGCTTCACCCCCTGCTGAGAAGGTGCTTTCTTATTCTTATCCCCATCATCTCCAAATAAACCAAACTTATTCACAGCAGAGGACACGGCATTGAGGGGGTTGGCCCCACTAAGGAATTTGGAGGAGAACATAGTTGGGTCTTCGTCTTTGTCCTCCTCCTCCTCCTCCTCCTCCTCCTCCTCCTCCTCCTTGCAGGAGCTGGAATCTATAGGGCTGTCGGAGTCAGAGCAGGAGCTGTCTCCTCTCGGTCCTGGCTCTCCCGCAGAAGCCAGGGGGGGGGCTGGTGATGGAGCTGTGGAGAGGGCATCTACAGCCCCACTGCTGCTGCTGCTGCTCCCTGGGCTCTCCTCTGGCTCAGCATCTACATCAGACTTCCTAAATGCATGAGAAACAGACATAGAGGAAGTGTGAGATGACAGGGAACAAGACAAGAGGGAGGGATAATGAAAGAGAGCACGAGGATTTGTGAACCACATTCCTGTACTGTCTGAGCTAATAAGATGTCTGGTAAACAAAATAAAAACCTGACGCAACAGGTATAATGGATGCAGAGGAAACATAATCACTCATCAACTGATTCACTGTCTAAGTTTCTGATCCTGTTATACATATTGAGACATAATTATAATATCGAATAACTCCACATACATATTATGATATGGCTAACACATCTCTATCTAAATCTGCAAACTGCACATTTTACTATATATTAATTTACATTTACACTATCAATTGGAAGAAACCGAGTGACACACTACAGTGCTTGACAAATACAATTTACTTCCATTTCAGTTGAAGCGATTATCATTTGCATAGCAATCGCCGCCTTTACGGAGAAATCCATTAACGATTCAGCCTCACTTTGATTTACTCCGCTCAGACTGTTGCTTTCAGGACCATGGACAGGGTCAGAACCGCACTGTTGATCACAGCGTATAACCTCAGAGCTCCCTTTCAGCCAGCAATACAATACTGACCAATGTGTAACGCAGGAGTGTGATACAGCTCTCAATAGACCCGACTACTATACAAACCCTAATTTAAATGACTATGCAAGGTGGACTCACGGGTTACATTTTTCTTCCACCGTCAAAAAATTAGACTTTCGCCACTAATCGCATCGTCGGATGTCACCCATCACCCGAATAGCACCGAGCGTTGTTGGTTGAGCAATCTCTTGCAGGACATGTTTTACAGCAGTAAGACGAGTAAACAGGACATCTAGCGCTCTCTCTGGAGAAACTGCAGGCACATCCGGGTAGGGGCCCATCAAATAATGCATGGGAAGTGAATCCTGATACTTTCCTTTACACAAGGAACAATAAGGGCAATGTCGGTCTGTGATGAGCCATTCTTTTTTTTATATGTAACAGCTGGATTTAGCGTAGCTACGCTCAGTCCACTGGCAGCGATGGTTCACCCAGAGGCGGTGAAGTGGATCCGATGTATCCAAAGCGTTTTACCGTAGTAGCCGAATGAAAAAGCGGCATGCATTACGCCCGACCACTCTAAACCCGATAATATGTTAGTCCGCATAGGGTGCGAGGTGATGACAGCTCCGTGCACACGGGTGAGCGGAGATTTAAAAAAAAAAAAACAAGAAGAAACAACAACACATTATCACCTACTTGTGTGCCCTTGACCGGGAGTCTGTTCAGATATCGGAAAAGTCAAAATGCTCCTACATATGCTCCTACACAACCAGCCTACATAAGCGAGGAAACAGCAAAAGCCATGTCATCGGTGGAATCTCCTGAAATACCCTCTGATCTCCGCTCTGTGTCCCCCCTACTCATCTCCTCCCATCCTGCTGCTGAGCATTCTTCACCCTCCACGGTCACAATGTCAAACGCAAAGCGCGGTATTCCAGTGAAAGCGAAGGAAATTGTACCTTCATCAGGTCTGTCTCCCTATCCTCGCCCACCGCTCCTCGGATTTTCCCTGTCCGTGTCTGTCTGATCGCCGAGGGATGGAGGGCACAGGGCAGCAGATAGAGAGCGATCAGCATCCACTCCGCCTCCCACTCCAGTGCGCAGGCGCCGCATCTGACAGGTGATCACAATATATATCACGCACGGAAATTGAAATTAAAGGGGACAAGGCGATTTATTTCCCCGGAGTCACGTGTGATCCGCGTCGAAGACCTTAAGACTTAACCCTCCCCCCCGTGGTATGTTCCACATTTTCTCAGCGACCGTTGACATATTTACTATCGTGAGTATGGAGGGGTGATGTGATTTTTGCCCTAAGTGTGCTATGCCATGAGAGCGATAATAGATGTATTCAGTCAGCTTTGCATTCCATTTCACCTGGCTATTTGTATGTTCTATGCAAAATCGTTTCAAAGCACTCATAATCACATTTCTGTTTTATATATACACTGACAAATATTACCTGATATAATCAAACAACAAATATTGTCAGACACTGATAGATCATATGTCTCCATCTCATATATATTAAACATCATCCGTATGTCAACCATCCATGTCTTAATCAATCAATAAATTACAGAACTATCATTAAAATTGCCTTTTCAAACTTCATTGTCTTTTCCAGTTTAGCGAACCTAATTTCTCCATCCACTTGCCTCCAGACCTGATATACCAGGCACAATATGTTGGATATAATCCACAAAGATTCCATTTTTGGACATCACTCAATACTTGTAAAGCAAAATACAAAAGACAAATGCATTTTCGACGAGACGGCTTTCTTCAGTACACAGCAATTCCACGAACTGTGAATACACCGTCTGAACATTTCCTCTTGGGCCTGAAGTAAAGCTTGTTGATGTTGGTTCCATTTTAGTTTGTAGAATACTTAATGGAGATGTACGTAACAGGAAGTGAACACCCACAGGCACACACTCTTCAGTCTGTGTAACCTGTCTCCTCTGTGCCGGATTTCTTATTCTGGCATTACTCCACACAAGAGTTTTTCTACAAAGCAGATGTGATGTGAAGAGACAATCTGGGCAATCTTATCGTGTGCCACTGTCAAAGTGATACAAAAAACTAGCTGGCTATCTTCTTTTCTCCTTCCAGCTCCAGACCAGATGAATAGACATTCAGAGACTTATGTCCAACCGTGAACTGACCATGATTCTTGAAAGTATGATTACACAACTATGTCGAATTTAAATCTCTATCTATCTATATATCTATCTATCTATCTATCTATCTATCTATCTAGAGCAAGAGGAACATTGCACCACAAAATAGGGAAAAAAAAATTCCCACCTCCATAGATCACCCTTCTGCCACAAGAGAGATTATACAACAGCAATGATAAAGAAAAGGATCTATATATAATTTCTGAACGCCCCCCCCCCTGCCATAGTCACATGCACATTTACACACAACATACAGTAGATAAATTCCTATTCACTATTCAGTATGTGATAAGCGTGAGAGAGAAGTGTGGGAAGGATGGAGAGCAAGTGGTATGTGGGCGTGTGGAAGAGTTACGTCATGTGTGATGTGTCAGAGGCAGAATCGCTATGGTATCTCTTTGGAAAGCGCCAGATTTGGCTTCATTGCAGACATACACACACACACCCACACAGGAAACATTCATCAGTACAATCTCCATCTGGGGAAATATGCTCTCTCTTTGCAGTGGGTTTGTACATGGTCCGGAAATCCTTTAAGTAATCTCAGACTACTAATATCTCCCTCATCCTCACAATGTGGTACTTGGAAATGTTTTCGGTAGACATAATACATTATGATCCTCTTCCTGTTTTTGTGGAGTATCAAAATAGAACATATGTCCATTCAGGCCTAATGCCCTTACAGTATATGCCACTACTTATTATTAGGTGGGAGATGTAACTGAATGATTTTGTCTAATCCATAGACCAATATATCCTGAGAGAAATAGTTTAACAACATCAGAAACAGGCCCAGTAAACAAACCGCTGTTTGAAAATACAAGTTTGTCATTGATGTTTCTGATGTTGTTAAACTGTTTTCATCCTGCTCCACAAGTGAGTCGTGTTTGTCAGTCAACAATATTATGTAAGACTGTGGGACAGCAGGCAATCACCAGATGCGGCACCATCATGTTATTTTCTTTTGATCTCTCCCTGCTTGTCAGTTTAAATGCAATAACTAAAATCTCCTCTGTCGCCATTCATTTCCCTCCCACGCACACTCTGATAACGCCAGAGCAGACTTAAATCCTGCGCTCACACAGCTGAAGCATCATAGACTTTAACAGCATCACTCGTTCGTAGAGACGAACCCGAAAATGAATTGGGTGCTCTCGAGTGTATTGAAGAGTGAAAAGAATTCAAGCTGCTCATTGGGAACAATTTGAAAAGGTTGAGTATTAAAACATGTTTTACCTGCAGGTTTCTTTTGTCTGGCTTTACCACATGTGTAGTGAGTAAATTCACATCAGGGACTGAGATAAAATACCCATCAAAGGCCTTTTTAATATCATTTTCTTCAATTCCTTTCCATCCAAGCAGATTCCCGAAGGAACCAGACAGGGATGATTAATCATCAGTCACTCTGCTTCCTTCTCTGTGGTGTGATTTAGTAGTCCTAATGGAGACACAAAGTCTCAATTTATTTACCAGAAGCTTGTAGTAATATATTTATTTCCATGTTCACCATTTCATGATTTCCTCAGCTAAGGTATAACATTCACACATCTGCATCCACATCTGGAAAAGGAAGGCTATAGCATTTGATATAAGTAATGAATATTAATAATGAGGAGTGTTACGAAAGAGTGTTGCTTGTTTAATGGCAGGCCTTAACGATTGTCTAAAATCGTGTGTGCTTCCAGTTTACAATTAAATGAAGTACAAATGAACTCTTGTGTACACTGCATAGCTGAAATTGAAAGATGATCTCCATGAGAAGAAACCTAACCTGTTCAAAGTTCAGGTATCTGGAGCCTATAGAGAGGTGGTACATCCTCCACAGGTCACCAGTCCATCACAGGGCCCATACAGACTAATGCATTCACACCGACAGGCCTTTTAGTAGTTTAGTTTGTACCACACTTAACCTGCAAGTCTTTTGACCCACATAGGTTTGAATCCTGGAACTGCCTGCTAAGAGCCAAAAGTGAATAACCATCAGGCCACCCTTGCTGCCAAGGGACAAACCCAGAGTCCATTAATGCTAACTATAAATGGACATATCCCTGAATACCATTTTCCAATACATTAATGTAGACATGAGGGCCTCTCCCATCTGACAGCAGGTGCTTCTGTGGTTCTCTTCTCTGCAGCATTGCCTTTCTGCCCACTCAGGCATACACCAAATACAAAGACATCATATTTAGATAGCATTTGTATTCTTCTCTGCACGATCAAGCCCGTTTCTAGCCCTCACACATACATCTTTCTCTCTCCCTCTTTCTCTCATACACACACTCACACACACACACTGAAACAAACAGAGCTCAGAAGCATTACTTATCTCTCTCTCATTTTAATTAAGCCGACACACTGGAGCATAATGCTGCCTAGCAGTTTTTAACTCCCTCAGCTGTAATTCTCATGGATGAGACTGCAACTTCCATAACAACAACAAGAACAGTCCCTCACAAATGCCAAAGTATTTTGGTTAAGAGTTTGCAAAAAGAGACATACCTCTGACGTTGACCTTTGAGGAAAGCAAAGCAGTTTTTCCCCGGCATGGTTATCTCTGGAGCAGAGCCCGAGCGGTGTGAAGCAGTAACCTGCATGGAGGTGTATTGCTGTCCTCTCTAGGTCTCTAGGTCTCTGTGTCTGTGTGTTTGGCAGGGTCACCATGTAACCTATACAGTAACCTGATCACACAATTTGCCAGTGTCATTAAATTTACATATCTGCACCGAGGAAGGGAAAATATGCACTCATGACACTACTCTCTAGATGGAACCAAAAGACCGCTGGAATGCACCAAAACGACAAATTCAATTAAAGTTGACAGTTGATTTATTGTTTTTTTAAGTATGACATTTAAATCTAGGTATATGAATGAAAATTGTAATAATAATAATAATAATAATAATAATAATAATAATAATAAATTAAGTTCTTTGAACACCTGGTTATTCATGGACTTATTCAAGACAGTGTCTTACATTATAAACGTACTAACAATGTAATTGACTGATAACTTGATTGTGTTAGAATGGGCATGATACACAGGTGGAGTTACCGATCCTTGTAAGTCTGCTGTGTGTCACTAGGGAGCATGGTTTGTGCTTTGCCTTCTCTAGTCCTCGCTCCACATCATGCCAGAACACTGCACAAGTCTCTAAAGCCACCCAGTCTTTTTTTCATGACCAGTGACCATTGCCATCTGACGTACTAAAAATACTCTTAAAGGAACAGTGTCCACAGAGCATCAAGACACCGTTATCGCCACTTTCGCTATTCGTATCTCCCTTTTCTCACCAGCCCCTCCCTCGGCTGCTATGTCATGAGAGAATTCTATGGATACCATAGTTCACGCCCCCAAATCCTACAATCCACACAGTGAGCAGGAAATCACTGCTGATCAGAGTCAGACTGGCAAAGGGGAGAGGAGTGGGAGGGAATGAAAATAAGAGTGAAAATATATACATCTGATAATGGAAATGACAACACTAATTTGATAAATACCATAAAGATAAGGAGGAAAAAGCCATTTACAGATGTTAGGGCAGAAATGAAGTTGAGAAGCAGTTGCTCTAAATAGAAAAGGAAGGAGGATGTAGCAGAGCTGTGGATGCTTCAATGCTAATGTATGCCTTTATTGGAACTGGCAAAGGCCTGGAGTTAGACCTCTTTCTTGCATCAGACATATCTTGTCACTATTAATCTCTAATATTAAAAGGCAATTGACATTGCACAATTCTGCATTATGTTCTCAGAAATGC